GTTCTTAACCTATGTTAGTCTTGCTTCTCTTCTAGTACTATTTAACCTTAATTTACTTTCTGAACAAAAATTCCTTAAACCTACATTGGAGGGGAAAATAGCCAAGGGCATCCATTAGTGGAAGTTTCAAAACTTCATTTACATTTGTATTTCTTAATTTTTGCTTTTTCTTCTTTACCTAAATAATGTGACTTCCAACTTCCAAGTTTTGAAACTTAATGGAAGCCCTGAATTAGCCAAGAGCAAAATTATCTCGGCATAATTGGGATTTCAACTCCTATAAACTAAGTCTTTAAAACTTTTGCTTGCCATACTAAGCTCCTTTAAGTAGACCAAGAAAAGACAACATGTGGGTCCTTGTTTGCACCTGCATGGCATGTCATGTTCAAAATTAAAACATAATCATATGATCTGTGTGCATATCATCTCTCACTTGGTCTTGTGTCAAAAAGTTTGATAGTCAAAATATATATTTCTTGAGTAGACAGAAATATGCGTATCACATTTACACATATTTACTATGTGAAATATAAAAAAATCTTCATTATTTAAACTCCTTTGTGGAAAAATGTCTTTCAATTCTAAAACAGTTACTTTTGATATTGAGGTATTTGTTACATGAAAAGACAGACCATCAGCTCTTTACAACAAATTCAGGTTTTCATATTTGAGTTTTTATCAAGAGGTAGTCTTAAAATGAATGTTACACTGTACTGAATAACAAATAATCTAACAACAATTATGACAGAAACATTGATGTATTCATTGCAATAAATTATGCATAACTGAGAGACGACAATCCAGTATGAGGAATACGTGTATTTCTATATTAGCTCTACCTGCCAATGTCACAAGTAAAAGAGTCCAGCCATACTATTGGGTGCTTGACTTTTCCTTTTTTGCTGACAATAAATTCTCTTTTTCTAATTTAAAATCAAAAGCACATGGGTATATATTACACATATAATGCCATCTAAAGACTGATCGATCTAAAAATATTGCTAGTTTAGATTGAAAAAGTCATGCATGTTGAATTTATTTGCTTAATGCTATATAGACAAGTCAAGACATGATTAATTTCAGTTCAATAATACAGTGTTTTTTCAAAAATACTTGAATTTATATAACAAAATTAATGATTTTTTATTTCATCTTTAAATAGGATCAGTAAGTGAACCCTTTCAAAAAGATGTCTTTCTCTCTTTTTTCAAAAAAAGTGTCGAAAGTTGTCAATAACAATTCAAAATTTACCTAATTTGAGGCCCATATTAAGCTAAGACAAGATAAAATCATAATTTAGCACTGGCATCTTCATGTTAAATATATATTGCTAGCACTGGCATGTTCATGTTATATATATATTGCACAATTATATTTTGTTTGTCATGGTAACATTAACCACTACACTAAATATACAAATTAGTCCCTGTGACAACTGCAGATATCTCAACAACTATATGCATGCTACCAGAAAATAGCTTTATAGGAGACTTCATAGTCAATTGGCTACTTAAGTCTTGAGTTTTAATATCAAAATTCTTTAAATTGACGGTATTAAATTTAAAGTAAGTCAAATCCATTTTATATACAAACTGGGTTTTAAACAGACAAACAAAAGAATGCTCTTGAAATTATCATTATAAACCTTGTAATATAATATATTATTTTGATTTATGTGTAAAAGTATTTTCATGCAATATTTTGTCAGCTTTAACTTAAAAGTAACATATTCATACTTGTGTTTTTTACATACAATTGTATTGTTATATAGGTCATTACCTTGTTATACTTGTCAACAAAACTTCTCAGCTAACTTACTGTAATTTATAACACTTAACACCACATTATATTAGAACTGTATGACTATAAATTGTATGTATACAATTCTATGTTGAATAAAATATATGTTATATTATATATATTGAAGAACAACTGATCAATGTTCAAAGAAACATATACACCATACATATACATGAGGAAGCAATTATATTGTTGGTGTAGTTGTAACTAGTGATCTGATTTAGGCTGCAATGATGAATCATTATCACATTTAGAATATTGCGCGATACAAATTACATAACAAGAACAATAAAATTATAACTGTACAAAAAACATGAATATGTTATAACTTATTGAACAATCACACATAAATATTGAACAATAAGCGATTTATTGGTCAATAAGACTAGACTATTGAACAATAAGTGATTTATTGGTCAATAAGACATGAATATTGAACAATAAGCGATTTATTGGTCAATAAGACATGACTATTGAACAATATGCGATTTATTGGTCAATGTGACATGACTATTGAACAATTAGTGATTTATTGGTCAATAAGACTAGACTATTGAACAATAAGTGATTTATTGGTCAATAAGACATGAATATTGAACAATAAGTGATTTATTGGTCAATAAGACATGACTATTGAACAATGAGCGATTTATTGGTCAATAAGACATGACCATTGAACAATAAGTGATTTATTGGTCAATAAGACATGAATATTGAACAATAAGTGATTTATTGGTCAATAAGACATGACTATTGAACAATAAGTGATTTATTGGTCAATAAGACATGAATATTGAACAATGAGCGATTTATTGGTCAATAAGACATGACCATTGAACAATAAGTGATTTATTGGTCAATAAGACATGAATATTGAACAATAAGTGATTTATTGGTCAATAAGACATGAATATTGAACAATTAGCAATTTATTAAACATTAGGACATGAATATTTTACAAAAAATGTCTTGTTAATCAATAAGACATGAATATCAGAAAATCTGTCTTAATGAACAAAATAATATGAATATTCATCTCAGTGATTTTTCTCACTTAATTGGGAAGAGGCCTTTTTTCGGAGTCTGTTATATAAGTAGGAAAATCACTGCATCTATATACATGTACAGTACATGTAATGTAACCTACTGGACATATAACTTACTTAACAATAATTCAAGAAAAATAATACACAAAATTGCTCTCTGAGCAAGGTAACAACTGACGATAACAATATATTCATCTAATTATCTACTAAAGGTATAATTTTAACAAGTGAGTAAAGCTAAGGTGAGCTTATAAGGGCAAATACTGTAATGATAAGGCCATATGACACAGTAATACTGGTAAGTTGTAGCAAAAACATTAAGTTAAATATGTCTGACAAACTTGTTTACTATTTCTCGTGAACTTTGTTCTCTTTTTCCATGTACTTTGTTAATTTGCTTTATGAGCTGTCACTTTTGTGAATCTTCTTTCTTAGTTATTATACATTAATCTTTTCCTCTTACATGAGACTTATATTTTCAACAAGCATTGTTCATGTTAACCCTTAGCTTGCTAACAGCAACTGCTTCTACCCATGCGACCAGTACTGACCCCCTGATGATCTGCAGGGATTCAGCCAGTACTGCCATGTTGTCTGAACACAGTCTGCACTATTCAGTCACTATATTATATTTTGAAATTTTTCCTATATAGATGATGAATGGTTACATCATGATTAAATACCGGACAAGGCTATTTAAGATATTTGGCATAGATTGGTTTTACAAGTTTTGTTCATTTTAACAAATTTCCTTCTGTGTATTTCACTTAACAATGAATGGATTTTGTTCATTTTAACAAGTTTCCTTCTTTGTCATTTTGCTTACGATAAATAAATTACATCAAGAGGTTTTCTGTAAGTAATATTGAAAACGTTAGGGAAACACATGATGATCCTTACAATTGCATAACATGTTTTAAAAAAAAAAAAGAACAAGAAAGACTTAATGTATGTTAAAACTTTCAATTGTAAATACAAGTTTCTAGTTGATTCCTGTATAATATGATATTTGAGGCAAATTACGGTACTAAGGCATACCCTGAGAAAATTATAAATTTCCTGACAAAAATGTTGACCAGCAGTTTTCCTTTCTACAAAAATTTTACAGCATTCACAAGAGTGACATTTAATTAGACACATAGTCAAATAATTTATCCACTTTGAATACATCACTTAAATTCCAACAAATGTCAAGAGTAAATTCATTTTGAGTATTTATCAAATCATAATAATAATCATTTGTTGTTATATTTCATAGGGGACTCCCAAAAATAGCTTTCAAAAATACAGTGAAAAGAAGATTTTGTTAAAAAAAACAAAAAAACTTAAAAAACATGAAATGCTCCATTTTTAACTTTTAATCAAAAACTATATATAAAAGGAGCAGTCAGTAGGACAGTATGCTTAACTATTCTCATTGCTTGATAGTAAAACAAGAGCCTGTATAATGCAGAATTTTTATGTTAAAAAAGAGCCATAATTAAGTAAAATTCCATGTTAGAGTTAAGGGTCTTAGATAGTGACCTCCTATTATGCTCTCAAATAAGAGTGTAACATTTCAATGCATTCCCTTCAGTAGTTTTGAAGATACCAACTTACATGCAAAAACTTAACCAGTGTGTACCGAAGCCCAATGAGAGGGTGAGCACAATAGCTCTCTCTATTTTTTGAATAGTTGAGCTAAAAAGGACATGAGAAGTTATTTATCTCACAGAACAATAATACTCCAAATGTATCTAATGATAAAAATATATCCAAATTATTTTAAGTCTAGATGTTACAATGGTGCAACACACAAGAAATCAATCTATCTTTTCATTACTTGATTTACAAACAAATATGATGTAAAATATTACTATAGATCCTTTCATTTAAGACCGTATTCAAGTTGTCGCCCTTGGATGACGTCATTGGGGGATATGGTGGACAATGCCGATACAATTAAGTACAATAATAGAGGGATATAAAGATCTTAATCCTTTCTCTTGTAAGATTGGCTGATTGAAATTGCCAAAATTTTGTGTAATTGAATAAGATATGATATAAAAAGGTTGGTGAAATGAATAAAAATGTTTACTATAATATGGTTAACGATTTGTTTTAATAGTAGACCATATTGCTGGGTAACTGATCATGATTACCATTTTCTTAATAATGAAAATTTTACCAGGCAGTTAAATCGTGCTTACTTGCTTATACCAGAGATATAGATAATGTATCTTTGTCTCTGCTAATATACAATGCCCAAAATATATTTTGAGTTTCAAAATTGTAAGGATTCTGTAGTTTCGAAAAACGGCTGCGTAATAATTAATTGCAAGATACTGGTTTATTAAAAATCATTTTGATTTAAACGTTACTAAGACAAAGAAAAACAACATTATAAATCTATGTAATTTCAAAAAAAATGTAAAGGCATAAAAAGTAAAAATTCTTTTGAATGTACATGACTACTATTTGTGTCGGCACAAAATGCACTCTCAAAAAATCGTACATCACACCAATATATTTAAGCTGGTAAAGTAATATTTTCAACTTGATACTTTTTAATTCATACTCTGCTTATCAAATATTTAAAAACAAAATCACAAAAAAAAAACAAAAAAAAACAAGTTGTGAAACACGTTCACAGAAATTCGTTATTAACTGGATTATAATTTTACGTATTTTTGACTGTGCCAGTTGGTAGGACTCTGGATCGAGTATCATATCAGTAAGGCATGACCAATAAAGTCCCTAGGATGATCCATAACAAAATTCGGACCATGAATATTTTGACAACTAACAAAAGTGACGTAATCTGATGTAATGTTATAACTCTAAAAAATGCACCCTGGTGATTTATGATATCACAGCCAAGTGCCGCTTGTAAATACAACATAATGCACCCTGTTAATTAATATGATACGGCCCAGTGGCGCTTATATAATTATACACAACTCTTTATCTATGAGAAAAGGTCTTTATTTTTATAACCATAAGAATAGATTTTTAATATCAAAATTATCTTATTATCGTCTGTTGCTACTAAAATTATAGAAGTCAAAGCCACATGGTTTTCGTTCTTTCCGGAATATTTATAAAATTATATCCTTCACTGGTTCTTTGAAATTTTTTTTATACGGCATAATGAAAACGAATTCAGTAAGTATTGACAGAATGCATTCTGTTGTTGTTCTATTAAAGCTTGAAAAACAATCATTAAAAGACATTGGCAATCTAATTTTCAGGTTTGTCACAAATACGCCGGAATTTTCTAAATGACAGAAAATAACACAGAAAACTAGAAAATGGCCATTTGAATTTATAATAGGTAATTTCAGTGTGTATGGGTGTTTATAAAATATTAAAATTTGATTTAGTTACTAGCTTTTTATCCTGGCATTAGAGAAAAATCTAGATCTGATAAATATATTCACTTTGAAGTTTCGCTGCTTCACTCCTTAGCGAGAATCAATCTCAATCTTTGTTTTTGAATTTTTTTCTATTGTCTTGATATTGAATTTATGCATGCATTCGTAAATTTTTACATGTTATAATCATAATCATAATTGAACGATCAGTATTTACGCATTTAACTTTTCAATAACTAACTTTCTATGTGGCACGCATAGTTTTATCCCCCATTTACGTCACATCCGGTAAGGGAAGTAACTCTTCACTGACTGTTATCGCTTAAATGAAAGGGTCTATAAAACTACAATAAATAGAAGCTATTGAAAGGGGAAAACTTAACAATGTTTCTTTTTACCAAAATAATGGTTTATTATACAGAAATACATCAGACAATTTAACCCAGATCCATCCCTGTCCCCTGGGTAGTCAGGAAGAAAATCAGGGAAATGAGCTGATTTTTCTCCACTGCTCTGTCCTTATACTACCTGGTCAATGTGGTGAATGGCACCAAAATAGTGGGGAAGTATTTTTAACTTGCAGAGTTGTGGCCTTCACTAAAGGTTTGATTAATCCAAAAGTATATATCTGTCTTTTCAGTCCAAGATGGGGTGGAGGCAGGAACTTAAATTGACTGGTACATAATGATATTAAAAATTAACCATGATACACAAACATGCACTCAGAATATCTATATTCCTTATCATTAAAATTTACCTTAATTTATCTTTGAGACTTTAACATGCTCATGAAAACAAACTGACAAAAAAACAACATTTATGTCAGAATACTGAACACGAAAACTCAATTGCACCACTAATGTGACTACCTTAGGTGATTAATTAATTTCAACTAGTCTTGTATTTTAACTTTCAAGTGTTTTACTGTCAGGCTGACATGAATTTCAATGACCGGTTCCAAATATGTAAGATGGACTAGTCCATTTAAGAAATTAAGCTTAAAGGTTAAGAAGCCAATTACTTTAGAAAAAGCAGTCATTTAGAGCTGTCATCGATATCGACAATATCGATGTATCGTTGATATTTTTTTGCCGATCAATAATCGATACACATTTTAAAAAATCGATACTTTTGACTAATATATTAAATGTCTAGAAATTCTAAAATTCACCCAAAATATATACAGAAGCAGTAAATTATATCTAATGTTATGCTTTTGTTATATAGTGGAATTATTTCATAGCAATGGTGACAAAAAATATTGTCTGGAAAAAATCATGCAGTGGACAAGCACTGTACAGAACATGTTTTTGACTGAAATCATTGAAACAGGTATGAAAGTGAATGACAGACAAGTGAGTATAGGATATTATCGATATATCGGTGTATCGTTGATTTTAGTCACTTGATATCGATATATCGTTGATATGCTTTGCACTGAATCAATGACAGCTCTACAGTCATTATTAAATGATAACATTCTACCATGTAATTCCACAGATTGCTCACTGTAATTATGTGCGTAGGTTATACTTAGCTTTAACTTAAATCATAACACTGCAAATATAATTCCAGAGTGAATGTTTTGAATTTGAGCATATAAAGCACCCAAGCAATATAAAGCAGGCTATAACTGTACTTCTGCTAATTTCAAATCATCTTCTTGCAAAAGTTCATCCACATCTTTTAACATAATGTAATCTTTCAAAGCTACTGGAATTGGATAAGGCAGTTCTGCAATACTGTCCGGAACAGCATTCTGAACATGTTTCCTGAATGTTTTACGCGCAAGGTGACTTAAAGATATTGGATATTTGCGCTGATTTTTGCACCAAGTCCCGAGTATGAATGGACACACACGATTTATGTAAACCATCTGTGTCTCCGTCCAATCCCAGCCGGCTGCAGAAGCATACAGAATGAGTTTCTGAAATGTTGTTACCTTGTTTGTTCGACAATGCCAGTAAGAATCCAGGTAATATATCATAGAGTTGACGATGTCACAAAGTCTAACACCGTTTGCAATTTTCAGCAGTTTAATCGTATATTCAGATGCACAGATAAAGAACGGGTCTAAACTCTCTATGTAAACAGGTTGGTATCTATGCAGCTTTTGAAGTAGAAGTTCATGAAGGATCGTAGATACTGAAAATTCCTTTGCTAACAAGATTAATCTATAGATGAATTCCTCGTCACAAAATTTTAATGCTGTTCTAATTATATACATCATAGCGTCTTTACTGTTTGGCTCAGCACCAACTTGTAAAAGGCACTCTATAATTTGCCAGCAAATTGTTTGGCGAGGTTCTAATCTGTTATCAAATGCTGTAACAAGGGCCACATCCAAAGGTGAGAAATTGTGAGCATTAAGACTGTTCTTGTCACACTCTGCTGTAACCAGCAGCATCTTAACCATCTCAATTTTGCTAAGTTTTACAGCAAGAATCAATGCAGTTTCACCTTTTTCATTCAGCTGAATATTTATATCTATTTTCTTTTCTTCGCACAACTTTTTCAGTTGTTCATTCTCATCATTAAGTATTGCATTTTCTATCTCAGCAGATCCATTTAACCATTCTTCATAAGCACTTTCTTCTTCTGAATTAAGTGAACCAGCATCATCATCAGTGTTGCCAGTACTGTCAGCATTACTGCCCATACTACCTGTCTCAGAGTCCCCAAGACTAAGTAATCTGTACCGCCCAACTTGCTGTGAGGCAAGGCTGCGTCTGCGGCCCTGTACGCAGTTTGAGGGTAAAAAGTTACCCCCTATACTCTGCTGATTACCCATATTCCTTCACATTAGTTAACATTGCTCAATCTATCTGAAATAAAGAAATAAGGAGAAATGTTTTATTGTTAATGAATAGTAGTACATAAGATATAATACACATATAAAATAAATAGTGAGAAATGTAAAAGGTTTGCTAAAAGTAAAAGTAGTCTGGCAATCTGTTATGGTGAGATTTGCTAAATCTGGATAACAGCCATATTGAACAGGTACTGGTTGGGGACCACCAAAACTGGACAGCCATCAAACGCGGACGGCCCCGAAAATGCTTAATTTTAGTATTTTCTTTGTTCAGTGGTTGTCAGTCACTTTTTTTATCAACAATAAATGCATGTTTCTGCTTAAATTAAGTAAATAAATTTATTTTAACCTCTGTAAATGGCAATATTTTAATGTCTTTTTCAAGAATGTTGACGTTAAAATTTGGGGGTCAAGAAAGCAACGCCTGACCTCATATACCAGCTATAATCATTTGCAGAGTAAACAATAGAATATCCAAAACTTCAGCATTTGTTGCTGAAATATTGAATATCATGTTAAAAATCAAAACACCCAAGCTTTTATCTGAATTAAATCACGTCATGTACATATCTGTCCGGACACATGGTACTGTAGTGTAGACAATTTAGGTAATTTTGATACCCTCTTTGTCGAGCCTCAGATACAAGTGTCAATACAATCAGAAATGGAACAATATTACTATAATGAGAGGGTAGGTTGTTCCCGTGGATTAGACTGTCAAGTGGAAAAAGAACTTTAACATAATTATAGTAGCCTGTCCCAAAGCTGGGATTTACCTATAGCTCAGCAAGTGGGCATGAATTTTATAGACATGTATGCTGTTAAAATCTTTCTTACCCTGAATGTAATTCAGCTATTAATCTAAATTAAATCAGACTTGTCATCATTGACATGCAGAAATTCTTTTGATGAGCTATGTCTTACATTTTGACACTGGCAAAACAATACTTGTGGCTTACAAAACTTTTCATGACCCTGTTTATTATATATATATATTCTTACATTTATTATTATTTATTTGAAGATCCTGAATTTAATCAAACTCTAAAAATTGTGAAGAATATCTACAGTTGTTGCTGGTTTTTGTTTGTTTGTTATTGTTTTTGTTTGTTTTTTGGGGGGTGGGGTCAATATAAAGTGTAAGTACATGCAAACTATAAAATAAAGTTGATCAGTTTATACAGCCACTGGGACATAGGTCCCAGATATCAAGTACTATGCAAACAGGAAAATATTAGCAGATTAAGTACGAAAATAAAATGAACGAATCGTTCATGAAGTGCAAAATAAGCAAATACAACATAATTAGATACTGATTTTTCCATGATTACATTTCTTCTGATTAAATGCAAAACAAAATTATACCGACAGCACTTTGCAATTTTATCAAACTTACATAACATGTGCAAACACACCAAGTTTCTCCCCCGACAGCTGTCAGTGTCTGTCTTGTCAATTTTGCCATTTTTCTAACGGAAAATACCGGAATTTACCGAAGTATACTTTGGCCTATATACTAAAAATAGGTTATGTGCGCAAAAGCTCAAAAAAAATATATTGAAAATATAAGTATCAATGACAAAAAAGAAAATAATCAGTTAAGCTAACAGTGTGTACTTGAGAACTATATGAGTCTCTATCTTCAGCACTGTGTGGTGTTTTGCTAATACCGCAGTACAGCAGAGACATATAAATGTATTTATATGTCTCTGAGTACAGTACATGTATCACACACACTCGAACATGTCAACTTTTTAGGTATATCCCCTTCTTTATCTCGAGTAGGCTTACGCAAGTTCTGAAATAAAATATCTTATGAGGATTTAATTATAAAAATTGAAAGTGTAAGAGGGTACGTTTAAAAGTTATGTAGATCTAGCCTACCGTGGCACAGAGGTGACATGCGTGTGTGTGTTTTTATTAATCTCGTGCGCACGAGATAATTTAGTGGTACGCACGAGATACTGTGTCGTGGCCACGAGTTACCAAGTAGAGCACAAGTTACTTAGTCATGCGCACGAGACAATTAAGTCGTGACCACGAGTTACTAAGTCGTGGGCATGCGCACGAGATACTATGTCGTGGCAATGAGTTACTAAGTAGTGCGCTATTAAGTCGTGTGCACGAGGCCTCAACAGACGGTAGGATTTAGCTGTACAGCACTAATTAGAGATAAGATGTACAATTTTCAAAGCTATACAACACTTGCATTCATCTATGTCGTGGCAATGAGTTACTAAGTAGTGCGCTATTAAGTCGTGTGCACGAGTTACTAACTATTGCGCTAGAGTAATAATATCTGTCATATTTTGCGGTTCGGATCGGAATATCCGTCCCGAGGTGACCCGCCCATTGGGCGGTAACGAGGCTTGCCAAGTTACCGCCCATGGGCGGGTGACCGAGGGACGGATATTCCGATCCGAACCGCAAACATATGTCAGATATTTTTTCTTGCATATTCTACCATATTCCATTATATTTTAAATTCTTTATCTTTATTTTCAATGAAAATTTATATCATTACAACCGTAACTACTTTCATTCAACAGCGTATGAATTACAAAATCATTCATAACGGTAAAATGACGTCATCTTTATCGTGCCATTGTACAGCACGCGACTCATCTGGAACCCCCCATGCCAGATGAAATTTCCGGCATGGGTAAAACTAACGGAAACGCCAGTCTGATATGCAAGAAATTATTATGAGGTGCGCCCGATATAATATGTGGTCACGAGTTACTAAGTCGTGGACACGAAATAATTAAGTCGTGGGCACGAGATAATTAACCAATCAGATTACATAATACATATACAATGATGCCCTGCTTTACCTGCCTGACAGTGCCATTTATACAAGTTATTGATTGGACAAGGATTGTACATTTAGTGCCATTGTGACCCTGATTATTGACCAAATGACCTCAACATTATTAGGTGTCATCAACTGATCAATTGCAATGTCCATACTAGGTTATATAAACCTTGGCTTATTCCTTCTCAAGTTATTCAATAGACAAGGATTTTGCATGAATTATCATGGTCACCTTGATCTTCGATCTTATGGCATCAAACAGCAATATAGGTATCTACTGGCCCTGCCAAATAAATAAACCAGGGCTTATTCCTTCTCAAGTGATCGTATGGGCAATGCCGTTAGTACGTACATACTGATCAACCCTATCATAGGTTGGTATGGTCCCCACAAAGGGCCATAACTTAGTCAAAATTAAAGTCTGATTTATGGGCCTTTGATAGTGTCCTTATATGACCCTTAGGACATTTATCAAGTTTAAAGCGAATGCCATCAGCAGTTTCAAATATTAATGTTCCGTGTAACCTTAACCAGGAATTGTCCGAGTTTAAAAAATTCACACATATATAAATTAAATAACGGGAAATTAAACATAGAAAAATCGCACGAAAAATCGGCACGACGCAGCCGGGACTCGAACCACGGGTCTCAGGATAGCCGGTCAAGCATGCTAACCACTACAACACAACGGCTGAACATTTCCCCGTATCATGGGGTACAAGAAAAAACAAACAAACAAGAATACGGGGCGTGAAAATAAAAAGAGATATTCCACTGATTGGCTTCTGCCTTAAAGGGACTCCACTGAGGTTTTTTGACATGGCGGGACTGGAAATAATTTTTTGAGATTATTACTCCATTTAATGAAGATCTATACAAATAACTAATGTGCAAAATTTTAGAACATTAGCTCGCTCCGTTTTTCCAGAATAATTATTATAATAGTGAAAATTGACCCAAAATTGAAAAGCGTTTAAACGCTTTTCACTCAAATCTGACTGAGAGTAGCACAAACATACAATTTTCAATGCATTTCTTGTATTTTTCCTAATAATATTTAATTTATATTTCTGTTTTAAGTGCTCATGTTGACCTGTATGAAAAAATAAAATTTTATATTTTTAGCTTTACAAACCTCAGTGGAGTTCCTTTAAAGTCGGTATGATGTTGAGGAGTAGAAGAATCGAAAATATTGACAGGTGATCTGAAATTAATCAGGTAGTAGCTACTGAATGCACTTAATGTGTTACCACAGAGACTGAAAGCAAAACAGAGGAACCAGATTATAAAATGTATTTATTGCCAATAGAAGGCAGAAACATAGATTTTTTTAATTGTAAAATTAAAGGATTAAACCTATCTGGGTGTAAGATTATATGTTTATTTTTTAGTATAACACAAGAAAGATATGTTCAAAATTCCTTTATTTTGTGAAATATTATACCAGGGCAGAGGTATTAGTACAGGCAGAGGTATGCACGTTATTTCTGGAATGTCTGATAAATTATATCGAACCATTTGTCACTGCACTGCGTAACAGCTTTCTTCAGTTTTGCTTTCTTCGTAAAAAAAAGTTCATGTCACTATATATACATGTAGCATCGTCGGATGTTAAACAGATTAAGTTTTATTTCTTACAAGCCTGTTTCGATTATTTCCTTTTCAATTTGTAATTTCGCATGCTCTAAACTTCATCGCTCTGAAACCTTTCAACATTATTTTGAAGGACACCTTTTACTGTCATGTATGAAGCAAGGAAATGCTTGAAATCATTTTTCAGAGAGCATATATAGACCAATCGAATACACATATATGGCATTATACCCGACGGTGGCGAATTTGCAAAAAATTGACTTCATTGAAAATCAACTTTTCGGTTTGGAAATCTACGGAGAAAAAATCTGAAGTTTTGGTAACGACAAAGACTACACGATGTTAGCCAGCACATTGAAGTTCACAATACCTTAAAAAAAGAGTTGACATGTTTTTCCCAAACTGTATCAAATGGCTCAATGTTGATGTACGGTCTCCCGGGCACATGGTAGCTGATATGATAATAACAGTCCCTTGTTTCAAATTCTATTATCTTTTTATAAGAATCTGCAATAGTGTATACTTTGTATATTCATTTTCGAGAAAATGGACATATCTTTATTCTAGTATGAACAATTTGTAGACTGGCAAAGTGTTTAATATTATCATTGAATTAAGAATGTTAAAAAGTATACGCCACATTTGCCATAGCTTTCACAGAAGTGATGGGTCGGTCCATCGCTGCGGCATTGGAGCATTCGTTGCAGGAGCGATGGTAAATACATGTCATCGGTGTAAGGTTTATACCCAGTTTTGTTTCAAATTTTAATGTTTTATTGTGAACATCAGTGAGACTTGAGTCTACATAATTATGTAGGGCCTACTTGTTCTGCTCGATCCTTACACGTTATGATATGCTCAGTATACAAAGATTAGTTTACGTTTACTTTGAAGTATTTTAAACATCAGTGATCTGAACAGTCCTAGGTGTAATTTAGAATTCTTTAACATTCCCACAGTCATACGGTGGTAGTTATAAAACATGGCGTATAGAAATATGGGCCATCCATGGCAAAGAGGATAAGGTCGTTGCCCTTCACCGCTGTGGGTCCGAATCCCGACTTTGGATCAATTTCATGTAATATCCAGTGAGCTTACGGAACGTCGGTTGTTCTACTCAGCTGCCCATTCATGACTCTTGCGACGAATAATATACAGCCGCAGGGATGGACCAAAACATTCGAAATGCATAAGACGAGAATAAATTGGCGGAGGGTAGTCAGAGATTGTGATTCCTCTGTTTAAGACAAGCTGTCAAAAGACACTAATCGAACCAGATCTTATCATGCAATACTGTATATTAATTTATATAGGATTGTTATTTGGAACCACTCGTATGTAAGTTGGATCAAAGACAAGCACAACGATAAATTAAATTAAGTCGGGCCAAACTATTCTCAAAGAATAAAATACAACAGCTGTTATTAAATGCACAAGGAGACTTTAATTAAGGCTACCAAATGGCAAAAGAATAGCTGAGGTGACACTTGAATAGTGTAGCTATATTTCACTATAGTGAAATGTGGATACGTGGGTATCAAGATAATGAACCATACTATCAGGCTTTCCTTGCTTTTGGCTGTTGGTGAGTAAATTCTGCGGCAAAGTTCTAATATTGCAGAATAATTAAAATTTGAAGGTAATTGAACTGATATGTATGTACATTTCGTGTCAGTCATCTCCAAAGCCTAAATAGAAGTTAACCTTTCTTATCTCTTTGGTCTGGATAAAATTAAATTAAATATATCTACCTTTATTTGACGATTCAAGTGTTCCAGATTTGAGAAAATATTATAAAATGGGAACAGTTCTAAATGCTGGTATTTTACTTGTCTTCATTTTAGCAGGTAAGACAACGTTCTGTAGTTTTGATAGCATGTGAAGTACATTAATCGTCAATTATCAGCGATATACATTATATGTGAACGTATAAGGTCTATGCGCCTACCACACAACTTTATTGGCGTCTCGCTGATTTTCCAACCGAATCACTTTGTTTCTTCGTCGACTGAATCAGTTTGGAAGAGACATAGAAACTGGAAATACTTTATACAAAGTAACAGTCGTGTTTTTTAAGCGCTCCCTTTTTGTATGGGTCGCTATTTATTCAAAGGGATTTCATGCAGTAATAAAAATACTGATTATGAATTCATGAACAGTGCTATTTAAATATTTTGCACTTCGCCTCCATGAGATTTTAACAAGGGGCAGTAGGTGATGGCGACTTCATAAATTCATGTTTTGTTGAATCTACAGTACTTTAAACAAATGATTCCATGTACGGTGAAAAACACATTTTACATTGTTCTTTTCAGGTTTTGCTGATAGTGCTCAAAAATGCCATGGTAGCCCGAGAACTTATCATGGCAAACCTTGCGCTTCAACTACATGGTTTCATGATGGCCGCCAGGGGGCATGTGGTTGTGGATTCGACGGTAGTGACAAGCAATTTGATTGGAGCGCGTCTAAATACACAGCAGCAGCCAATCAGCATTTCTTTGACAAAAATAATAAGCAATGGTGCGGCCAAAGTTGCGGAGTTTGCGTTAATTTGACAACAACAGGTCTGATATATCTATTGTCGTACTTCACCAGTAATTAGTGATCCCGCCTACTCATAGCAAGGCATATGAGAAGTGCTTTAACTGTCTGCCACACGCTGCTGCTCGTTTTCTGTGCAGTGGTCACAAATAGTTGCCGATATTGCCTTATTATCTTTGAGGATAAATTGGTGTGAATATTACCACTCCAATGTGCGTATCCATATCGGTGTCCTCTGGCGTGTGGATAAGAAGTACTAGTATACAATGGCACGCTAGAATGTTTTAGCAAATTTGCAGAGGGTACGGATATAGATACGCACAAGGAGATTATACCAGTATGCGCTGGTCTGCAAAGCGCTTTTACAATATACTCGAGTATATATAAGGCATTTTAGTGTTTCCATGAACTTTTTCATGCTTGTAATAGATCTGTATTTAAGCAAATAGAAATGCCATTTTAGGCGAATACACATTTTGACATTCATTTTCTTTCAACTACATGTATAGACTAAAGTTCGTGCTTTCTAAGTTGTGTCTGCAATACCAGCGATATCCAACGGCTACATGGATATGAATATATAATATTCTGCACATAAACAGTTTTCAACGGCCAAAATAAAGTGAGCATGAGTTGACAGTGTAGTATGGACAGTATATTTAAAACAAAAAGCGAGAGGGTTATCTTAAGAATTAATTATGCATTGCAGTTGGTCGTACTCTATCTATACATTTAGTTTCTTATAATTTTAGGGGGTTCTGCACCAGGGGGCGTATCAACTACAGAGGGACTGTCGCATGTATTCATGGTTGTTGACCTTTGTCCCAATGAATCTCCAAATCTTGAATGGTGTTCTCAGACCGTTAATCATCCAGTCAACAAGTATGGTTATGACGCTCATTTTGACCTCGAGAATGGTGTCCACCAGATAACCAATGGTCTGAACTGGGACAACGTGGAAGTGACGTATGAAATAGTCGACTGTTCGCACGCGCACACAATCGAGCACATGACACCCAGTAACAGCAATTATCACCAATGCGAATGCTACAAACTTCACCATGGAAAATAAATGACAAGTCAAATTATTGTATTGAAATATTAAAACCTCATTTATAAGGCATTCCATCTTAAACTACTATCATTGATTCTATTTAATGGAATTTTAGAATTGCCGGAGTACACAAATTCCAGCAGATAAAAACTGAACTTACTTCCCACTTGTTTTATAGCATCAATTTTCAATTACATGGTCACTTCTTACTGAACAGTTTTATAATTTCCTTGCGTTTAGTTTAAAACGTGAACAGATATATAATTGAAACTTTCAACCCCCACGATCCAGTAGATTTGCCTCTGGTAAAGGTTAGTAAGCAGCTTGAGGAGATTATTGAGTTTACAAACGAATGGTACAACCGAGAATGTATCGTATAAGTACCCAATCTCACACCCAACCTATTCTCAAACCTTTCATTCATTAGTTGTTATTTATTTACCAGAAGTGATATGATGTCCTCAACTTGTGTGCATTAAAGCTTAGATTCTTACAGACATGTCTGCTGCTGTTAAATTAAAACAGTGCATAGTAAGGAATATTTACATTAAATATCTTATTACTTAGCATAATTTCATACAAATAGCTATTACTTTTGTAAGTCCTGTAAATACACCGTTAACTATTAAATGAATATTAGAGACAAAAATATCTTCAAGCAGGTACCTGCATCATGTAGGGTACTTCATTGTCATGTGATATTCATATGATAATCACTTCATTGGCTAAACTAAACAGTAGAATTTCAGAGATACTTGAAGGGGTTTGAGATTAGGTTCTTTCTTTTAAGAGGCCATGTCAGTTTCATAAAAGAGGGTTGTGCTTTTCAAAGATGGAAATAGAGCTTTTTTAATCGTTGAATTTCAATCAAATGTTACAGAAATGTTACATAAAGATTAAAGTGTACATATGTAAAGAATTTTGATAAAGATATATTCTTATTTATACTAAAAGACCTCTTGAATGCTTAGAGGTTTGAGAACTGGTTTGCCCACGATACATACTACCAAAACATTACTAAAACAAAGTTCAATGTTGCAACATCATCTTTTATTATAAATAACATTAATATTTTTAATATTTGTTTACAAAAAAACAAGTATATAGCAAGTCTTTCTGTAGCAGGACCAAGAAAAATTGTAACCAAATTTTATATATTTAACAAGATTTAGATTTTTTATTTACAAATATTACCGTATGTGAAAATGATCTCCTGGATGACAATAAAGTACGAGTACATTTATTCATTTACAATTTAACTTGAATATGTTGCAATTGATATGAAATGTCAATTAACTGGCTTACATGTAAAACAGTAGTTATTAATCCAAATGAGTTTGTGTTTTATACATAAGTCATGATAACCTGTAGCACACTTGGACACAAAACTGATCATCATTTGCAAATTTAACAATTTATGAAGTCCACACATCTGTGTAAAACTTACATATATTTTTATAAACTGTTTCAATATTTTATCATTAACTACACGTTTCTAGTTATATAGAATATCATCATAACAAATTTTTATCCTTGTGTCTTGAAAGATATTAATAATACTTGGTTAGAACAAAATTGAAATCATAATTATAACAAAGTTAGTTATCTATAATGTAATATTATACAGAACTCCGTCAAACTTTGCAAAAAATCTTATATTTTATAGGTTAAACTTTACAATAAACAAGAGCTGTCGGTAGGACAGCACGCTCGACTATTCTAGGTGCTTGATAGTAAAAGAGCCTAGATGTTAAATTTTTTAAGTTCACAAAAGGGCTAATTTTTTTTTATAAATTCATGTTATAGGCCTTAGAGGGAGTCTAATTATACAGTATTGGCTTGACTTTTCGGAAGGTAATGTCACAAGGGTGTTTTATTGAGTATAATAGTACTAATTACCTATGAATACATAAATTTGACAGAAAAGGTACAAAGGCTTGTTATTAAGATGTTTTATCAAGTAAATCACTGCTTTATAATTATGAATGCATAAAATTGTCCCAAAAAGGCACAAACCCTTGAGTAGTTATCTAGATACTAGCTTACAAGCAAAACTTTACCATGAATTTCTAAGTTGAAAAAGGGGAGAAAAATCAGCCTTAATGCAAGATAGAGTTATGGAACTTGGTCAGTGACATACAATTATGACCCTCCAATTATGACCCTAAGTGCATGATTGTGTTAAGTTTCAAGTAAATTTATTATCTTTGAAGACCTTTAACCTTTAACCAAAATTTCTAAATTTCAAAGGGGCGAATAATTCTGCAAATATTGCAGGCAGAGTTATGCAATTTTGCAAACTGATGTACATTGTTACTATAAAAAATTATTTTAAATTTCAATTGAATATCTCAAGCAATAATTGAGATATTTGAATTTACAAAAAAACTTCTACCAAAGTTCCAAAGGGGCATAATTCTGTCAATATTGTAGGCAGAGTTATCCAACTTGTCAATCTGATGTACCTTGTTACTATAAATAAGTATTGTAAGTTTCAATTGAATATCTCAAGCAATAATTGAGATATTTGACTTTACAAAAAAATCTAACCAAAATTTCTAAGATAAAAATGGGCATAATTCTGTCAATATTGTAGGCACAGTTATCCAACTTGTCAATCTGATGTACCTTGTTACTATAAATAAGTATTGTAAGTTTCAATTGAATATCTCAAGTAATAATTGAGATATTTGACTTTACAAAAAACTTTAACCAACGCAGACGCCGACGCGGACGCTGACGCCGGGGCGACTACAATAGCTCTGATATTCTTCGAATAGTCGAGCTAAAAATCATTTTTCACATAAAAGTTTACTGAACAGAAGTCACCTTTGACTTCCTTAACTATAAGCCAAGTGTCATACACATTTCTTCTCTTATCCAAACAATACCAATATTTCTTATTTTCTAATTCAAATCATATAATTAACTTTTTTTAGACAAGTACTAAAATTAACTTCTCATTAGTCAAGCCATATAAATCACTCATTTATTTAAGTCATTCAAATAACTTATCTTTAATTAAGTCATACAAATAATGTATCTTTAATGAAGCCATACAAATAACTTTTCTTTAGTCAAGCCATACAAATAACTTTTCTTAAGTCAAGCCATACACATTACTAGGCAAACAGGTGAATCTATTTTAGTCTGTAGTAGAATATAACCCATTAGAGAATGTATGTTGATGTTGCTGATATTTAAACTCTTCCTCTAGAGATGATACTGTTGTAGTTGATGATGATGAAACAAAATACATGGGAACATATCCCACTCTGCCACTTGACCAGATCTATAAATAGTAAAAAATACAGTTCAATTATTTCAGTAGAATTTCATCACATCAAATCTTAAGCTTATCATATGTGGCATATTTCACAACTTTACAAGGATACAACAGGGTATATTTATAATTCAGTCTTTGCTAGGCGGTGGTGATCATCGCATAAGTGACTATCCGATCCGAACCACGATTTAGCACTTACGATTTACAAATCGAACCACATATCTTTTGTTATCAAGGCACCCTTTAAAGTTTATTAAAACATGAACATTAGTTCTAAAAACATGTTTATTTTTCTTTAAACAATACTAAACATTAAACATATGTGCAAATATAAACTAGGTTTATGTTTTTTATTCTTCGCATGAGTATCTTAATGTATAATTGAGAAACCTATAAAAAAGTATTTCAAAGCATTAGAAGTAAATTTTGCTGGTAGAATTTTATATCAGCGTGACTCTTTTCAGCTATTATTGCAGACAGGATGAGTGAAGTCACACTGACGTATTTATTACCTTGTGTTTCGTAAATTTTGAATTATTATTATTTTAATGATTATTGTAAAAAATAAAACCATCCTCAATACATGTCACCTTATATAAATCTATATATAGCGACCAAAAATATTTATTTTCATAAAAAACATAGTGCTCATTAAAGAAAAAGTGATTTCTTTTTCGAAACTAATGACTTCCTAGCTCAGCATCATGGTACTGGTTTGTTTACTTCCTGTCTTTAATTGGCAAATTGTATTTAGGTAAACATCGCATAATTCATACTCAAATTGTATTTTTTCCAACTTTTAGAGTGTGAGAAACAGTAAATGTATATAAACAAATAAGATCGCGATCCATGATCTCTGGACTTACACGAATATTCGTACTCGATTATTCATTTCTATTCGTGATTATCCGAGTACTCGGATACTTGCCCCAGCCCTAGTTTTTGCCCATAAAATGTTCTCTGTCAAATTAAGAGTAGCAAGTAACTTGTAAGTCATATACACTGCCTTCTGGACCAAACACAGGACAAGTTTGAACATTACTAATACAGCACATGATAAATTTCTATACATATATATTATTTCTTTGTATTTCTACTTGTATAGAACTCAGTACCTTGCTGCAATAGATTTGCATTTCTTGTTGTATACTAGATTTCAATTTTTGTTGCATACTAAATTAGGACAGAGACAAGTTATTATTCATGAACAATTGTAAGTTTCATATAAAATCACTATTTTTAAATGCTTGACATAAGATATCCACTAAGTTCTGAACACAATACTTACCAGCAAACCTTTTCAAATCAACTGTCATATAATATGTACTTACCACAGTTAACATTGCACCTTTACTATAATTTGGCTGAAACTCAATAAACTCTGCCTTCTCACTATCAAATCCTTTCACAAAACCACTGAAATATAATTATAATATTGTCCAATATATTTCCTATACAGTGCAATTTGTATATCTAAAATTAGAGTTGTAACTCAATACTTGTTTGTGTTTTTGTTGGGTTTCAATTTACATAGACACTGTAAAAGTCATATGGCAACATAACAGATTTACTGGTGAAGGAAGACTTCATTGCCTTATTTCAGGTTGTCTGAAGTAGCTGAAAAGCTTCCTTAGATGAAAGTCATTAACTCTTTTAACTATTTATAACAGTAATTTAGATTATTGTTAACAAATGGAAGGATATCATTTATTGGATTTTTATCAATGTTTGAAGCCTATTGTATTCCATTAGTAAATCAGTACTATATAATTATTTAATTTAACATATTCATACATGCTTTCACAATTTTAATAAATTATGTTCAAGATGGCTTCCTGGAACTACACTAGTATAACCAATACTGGTATTACATTGTGACTGAGAGCAGTTTGAAACCACCATTCCTCAAATGAGAGGCAGTCACATAACAGCGACTATTCCAAGTTGTTTTTTTTTTTTACATGAAGGGACTGGAAATATTTTTTTCAAGAATTGTGTACTAGTAGATTAAGGTCTAGACCAACAACTTGCAACAAACTTTCTATACTATTTTTTAAACTAAAATCAGGCTAAGAACCACAAACAAGAGCACCGCTAGGCGGAGCATTATATGCCCGAAAGTGTTTTTTTTTCTTTTCTAAGGATGAAGCATTTGTAAGACATTACATAAATTAAATAAAGTATTACCTCCTTCAAATAGCAATCCTCCTATAAAGTTTGAATATTGTGGGCCAAATGGAACTTCAGTTATGCTCTGGAAACTGTTTTTAGTTTTGAGGTAATAGCTACCTTGAACTTTGTCCGTGTGACCCCAAAATCAATAGGGGTCTTCTACCCAATATGGACAATCATCCTATGAAGTTTCAACACTATGGGCCAAAAAGAAAGTAAGTTATGTTCTGGAAACTTTTTTCAGTTTTAAAGTAATAGTGACCTTGGCCTTTGACATTGTGACCCCAAAATCAATAGGGGTCTTTACCCAATATGGACAATCATCCTCTGAAGTTTGAATATTGTGGGACAAATAGACCTTAAGTTATGCTCTAGAACCTGTTTTCAGTTTAAAAGTAATAGTGACCTTGACCTTTGACCTTGTGACCCCAAAATCAATAGGGGTCTCCTACCCAATATGGACAATCATCCTATGAAGTTTGAACACTGTCAGCCAAATGGAACTTAAGTTATGTTCTAGAAACTGTTTTCAGTTTTAAGGTCATAGTGACCTTGACCTTTGACCTTGTGACCCCAAAATCAATAGGGGTCTTCTACCTAATATGGACAATCATCCTATGAAGTTTGAACACTGTCGGCCAAATGGAACTTAAGTTATGCTCCGGAAACTGTTTTCAGTTTTAAGGTCATAGTGACCTTGACCTTTGACCTTGTGACCCCAAAATCAATAGGGGTCTTCTACCCAATATGGACAATCATCCTATGAAGTTTGAACACTGTGGGCCAAATGGAACTTAAGTTATGCTCCGGAAACTGTTTTAGGGTCATAGTGACCTTGACCCCAAAATCAATAGGGGTCTTCTACTCAATATGGACAATCATCCTATGAAGTTTGAATGTTGTGGGCCAAATGGAACTTAAGACGGACAGACGGACGGATAGACAGACGGACGGACAGACGGACGCCGGGGGGTATAACATAATATGCCCGAAATTCTTTCGGGCATAAAAAATCAATTTTAAACTTGATCTTTTGAAAACTTTATCCATTCAAGAGCACAAGTTGATCAAATTAAGACTCTCAAATCTTATACATTTATGCATTTGGACCTCAGTAGAACCCCTTTAACAACGAGGCCAATGCTCCCTACCAAGAACAACAATTAGTAGTTAACTTACCAAGAAGTAATTTCCAGGACAGGAAACAATTTTGTTCTGAACACAGCTACATACTCACAGTTACCTGTAGTATATACATGTACATGTACAATAATATAACATTATAATAAGTAAATTTAAGAAACAATATAACCGATTTTTAAGCTCTTACAGTTATGTAGTATATTTATCAATAAATAAAATTGTAGACCTTCAAATTTCTAGACTTTATAAAAGATTTAAAAAGAAAAAGAAAAATCCCCCCTCAAATAAAGAGAAGAAAAAACAAATCCAGAATATGAATATAAGATTGGTATTCTTGATATTATAGCAATTTAATTTTGCAACCTTTTGTTTGTTGGATTTGGATGTCATTAGGCATCTTTCCAGATCACATGGCCTATTATTTCAGTCACAAGAAGGCACATGAGTAGAACCAGCGATGGTCTGTAAGCTAGGTGGATAGCTTCCTCATACGAAAGAATCTGAAGTCCCTAGTAGGATTACGCCCCAAAGTGGTGAGGGGAAAGTGATTTGAAGTCGACAATCTAACCACTCAGCCAAATATATACACTATTTTTTACCAGCTATCAATTAACAAGCTCTTATTTCACTTTTATATAACAAGTTTAATCTTTTTCTGGCTTTATTAACTACTGACTAAAACAAGAGGGCCATGATGGCCCTGAAGTTGCTCACCTGTATATAGGCCCCCAGAGTGGGGCCAGTTTAAACCCCAGGGCTTATATCTGAACAAACTTGGTAGACACCCATTACAAGATGTTTCATGCTAAACATCTAAAGTCTAGCTCGTTGAGTTTTTTTAAAAAAGATTTTTTAAGTTTTAACTATACACATACAGTTCAAAGCAATGACACCCCTAGGGCGGTGCCAGTTTTGCCCCCAGGGCTTTTTTTTTATCAAACTTTGAAGACACTCACTAGAAGATGTTTCATGCTTAATATCTAAACTCTAGCTATTTTGTTTTTTTCAAAGAAGATTTTTAAGTTTTTGCTATACACATAATTTATAAGGAAAATCAATGTCCCCCGGGCAAGGGCCAATTTTGACCCTAGGGCTTTTATTTGAATAAACTTGAAGACACTAACTGGAAATTGTTTCATGCTTAATATCTTAACTCTAGCTATTTGGGTTTTTTCAAAGAAGATATTTAAAGTTTTTGCTATACACATAAATAAAATCTTTGACCCCCGGGGCAGGGCCAATTTTGACCCCAGTGCTCTTATTTGAACAAATTTGGTAGATACAAATTAGAACATGTTTCATGCTAAATATCTTAGCTCTAGCTCTTTGTATTCTTTAAAAGAAGATTTTACAAGTTTTTACTATATGCATATACGGAAAATCAATAACCCCCCCCCCCAGGGGCTGGGCCAATTTTGACCCTAGGACAAACTTGGTAGACACCCATTAGAAGATGTCTCATGCTTAATATCTTAGCTCTAGCTCTTTGGGTTCTTTAAAAGAAGATTTTTAAGTTTTTACTATATGCATATAGGGAAAAACAATGACCCCCGGGGCAGGGCCAATTTTGACCCCAGGGCTCTTATTTGAACAAATTTGGTAGAAACCAATTAGAACATGTTTCATGCTAAATATCTCAGCTCTAGCTCTTTGGGTTCTTTAAAAGAAGATTTTACAAGTTTTTACTATATGCATATAGGGAAAATCAATGACCCCCGGGGCAGGGCCAATTTTGACCCCAGGGCTTTTATTTGAACAAACTTGGTAGACACCCATTAGAAGATGTTTCATGCTAAATATCTTAGCTCTAGCTCTTTGGGTTCTTTAAAAGAAGATTTTTAAGTTTTTACTATATGCATATAGGGAAAAACAATGACCCCTGGGGCTGGGCCAATTTTGACCCCAGGGCTTTTATTTGAATAAACTTGGTAGACACCCATTAGAAGATGTTTCATGCCAAATATCTAAGCTCTAGCTCTTTGGGTTCTTTAAAAGAAGATTTTTAAGTTTTTACTATATGCATATAGGGAAAAACAATGACCACCGGGGCAGACCTGGGGTAATCATAAATTGTAACCATTGATTTTTTAATTGATTACATGATTACACTGTAATCATCATGTAATTGATTACCTTGCCCAAAATTGATTAATTTAATTGTAATTAATCAATTACATCTAAAATTCAGTCAGTAATTATGATTACAATTTGATTGACATTGATTACTTTCAGGTTTAACAGGAAACTATTTAAATTCAAAAGATGCTTTTATTTTACATGATAAAGTTTAACTTTTGTTTTACATTTATACAGTAAAAACCCTTAATTAAGATCACCATCTGAGCTGGACCAAAGTGGTCTTAATTGTTAGGATGTTTTAATTGTGAACATAATCATTGCTTGCATACTTTACAACTATGGCCTATTTTAGTTATTTTGTATGAACAAACAATATTTATCTTAACCTACAAATAGAATATATCTATGCTGTGATATTTAATCTGATGAGAGGAAAACTTATTTCTGAAGAAATTTAACATTCATTTCTCTTTGGTATGATTTCAATATCAGTTATGATATGATGTACATAAGTCACCTATCAAACAAACAAAAAATTCTTTACAAAACTAGAAATGTGTCATCATGCCACGGATGCCCCCGCATGCAGCCAAAATTTCAGATGGTGCATTAATTATTTTTTTCATTTTAAGTTTAAAGCCCTTAAAACTTTTCAATGTTAACACAAACCATTTTCATAAAATGTTCAAGGCATTGAAACTATTCAGTCTAAACCTTTTAAAAATAGCATATTGCATATTTGTAGCCAAAATAATGGCTAAAAGTAAGAGTGCTGAAACTGAAAGTTCAAAATTTTTCCAACATTCAGGAAAGATAAGTTTGTCTTAAATCATTGAACTACAACCAAATTCAAACTTAAACTGCTTATTCCTAAGATGTATCTATATTATTTTCAAAGTGAAAGGGACATAACTCTGCCAAAAAATCATCAAACCATGACCATATTCCAACTTGACCTGCCCATTCCTTTGACATATCCATATGTCAAATTTAAGTTGAATATGTAACACTGTTGGGTAGGTAATGAACAGAAACTGTAAATTTCATATTATTTTCAAAGTGAAAGGGGCATTACTCTGCCAAAAACCATTGAACCATGACCAAACTCAAACTTGGCCTGGGCATTCCAAAAACATATCCATATGTCAAATTTGAGTTGAATGTGTTGTACCATTGGGGAGATAATGAACGGAAACTGAAAATTTCATATTATTTTCAAAGTGAAAGGGGCATAACTCTGCCAAAAATCATTGAACCATGACTAAATTCGAACTTGACCTGCGCATTCCTTTGACGTATCCATATGTCAAGTTTGAGTTGAATGTGTTGTACCTTTGGGGAGATAATGAACGGAAACTGAAAATTTCATATTATTTTCAAAGTAAAAGGGGCATAACTCTGCCAAAAATCATCGAACCATGACCAAATTCGAACTTGACCTGTATTTTCTCATGACATATCCATATGTCAAGTTTGAGTTGAATGTGTTGTACGGTTGGGGAGATAATGAACGGAAACTGAAAATTTTATATTATTTTCAAAGTAAAAGGGGCATAACTCTGCCAAAAATCATCGAACCATGACCAAATTCGAACTTGACCTGTATTTTCTCATGACATATCCATATGTCAAGTTTGAGTTGAATGTGTTGTACCGTTGGGGAGATAATGAACGGAAACTGAAATTTCATATTATTTTCAAAGTAAAAGGGGCATAACTCTGCCAAAAATCATCGAACCATGACCAAATTCGAACTTGACCTGTATTTTCTCATGACATATCCATATGTCAAATTTGAGTTGAATGTGTGCAACCGTTCTTAAGATAATGAACGGAAACTGATGATGACGGAATGACAGAATGACGGAAGGACAGAAGGACGGAATGACGGAACAGGGTAACACTATATGCCCCGGCCTTTACATGGCGGGGACATAATAAATGTCCTGAAAGCAACATTAAACAACTCTAAAATTAGAAATCTGGTGGGGTTTTGTCCTACATTCGTGAAAAACTGTTATTATTGGGTTATTGTATAAATTAAAGTGAGAAGGTTAATTTTAGGAATGTAGGACAAAACCCCACCAGTTAAAACCCCACCACTCAAAATTTTATAGAGTGGACAAAACCCCACCACTAAATTTTATAGAGTGCACAAAACCCCACCACTAAATTTTATAGAGTGGACAAAACCCCACCACAAAATTTTACAGAGTGGACAAAACCCCACCACTTCAGTTTTATAGAGTTAGACAAAACTTTCTTGTAAACATGTTAAATAACAAACAATTTTGCATCATCAGAAACGTAAAAGAATGTGTGAACAACTCATCAATAAGGAGAAGACTGTACCCGAGTTTCTTCAGGTTATCGGCCACTGTATCTGCTTAAACTAAGTACAATGAAGGAAATAGACTCATTGTGAATAAACTAGAAATGTGCTATACAAAATGTGTTATTTTTAATCATTAATTGATGAAAATGTGCTATATTCTTGATTAATAGTAAGTAGTTTATTTTTTATCTAAATAAATTGAAGAAATGAATTTGAAGAAACTAATAATGGATAATTCAAGGTGTGTACAGTTTGTAACACCTTTTTTGCATATTGCACATGCAAGATGTACATGCATTGTTAATAAAATTGTTCATTCTTACATTACACAAATGTTATATTGAACTTAAAAAAATAAAATGTGAAAAAAATGTGTATATTATATATATTTTAATTCATCAAATCTTGCCCAATAATTGGTAAGTGTTGGGTTTTGTCCACTCTATAAAACTGAAGTGGTGGGGTTTTGTCCACTCTGTAAAATTTAGTGGTGGGGTTTTGTCCACTCTATAAAATTTAGTGGTGGGGTTTTGTCCACTCTATAAAATTTTGAGTGGTGGGGTTTTAACTGGTGGGGTTTTGTCCGTCTTCCGTTTTTCACACCTGATGAAATTAAGTGTCATGCCAAAGAGCATTCAAGCAAATCATAACAAATGTTAGATCTTGATAGGTGTTGACTTTAATATCAGTAGTCTCAATAGTTGGGTCAAATTAAGAATTAGGAAAGAATTTTTTCAGGTGGTCTTAAAAGTGGATAAGCGGTTGTTCTTAATTCTGGATCATGTAACCATTAACATAAAGAACCTTTAAAAAAAATAGTCTTAATAAGGGGGTGGTCTTAGTTCAGGGGTGGTCTTGAGTAGGGATTCTAATGTACATTGAATGTAATCAATTATCAATCAATTACTCTCTTAAAGTAATTGTAATTTAATTGATTACAGAGGCAAGTCTGAGTAATCAATAATAATCAATTACAATAAAATCTGAAAGTAATTGTAATTAAATCAATTACTGATCAATGTAATCATCCCCAGGTCTGCACCGGGGCGGGGCCAATTTTGACCCCAGGGCTTTTATTTGAACAAACTTGATAGACACTCACTAGAAGATGTTTCATGCCAAATATCTAAGCTCTACCTGTTTGGGTTTTTTAAAAGAAGATATTTTAAGCTTTTTCTATCTGTTGCCATGACAACCAGAGTTCTGCATGGAATGGAATTCTTTGAACAACTTTGTTAAGGCTTCACACAAGGAACATCCCTGTGAAGTTTCATTATGATCTGCCTTATGGTTTCAGAGGAGATGTCGTTTTAAAAGTGTGAACGGACAACGGACGACGGACGAAGAGTGATCCTAATAGCTCACCTTGAGCATATGCTCAGGTGAGCTAAAAAGCACAGTCAAGTATGTAAAAAGCAAGACAATACCTTGAAATATTACTGCCAGACGTTCTCCTTTTGAATCCCAAGCCATATGTTGAATAAGTCCACCAACCCTACATATAAAATAACATTAATTTATATTAAACATTAATTGATTTTTGTCTACTCAGATTGTCAGGTTTGCCTGGCTATTAACTGGTAGTTGCAGCACTGAATGATGATCACAGACAGACAGCAGTAAGACAGAAAAATCTTAACCCTTAACCTGCTGAATTTGTCTAGTTTCAATTTGTTGGGACTATCCATTATTGTTAATAATGAAAATTGTAGCTGACATAATAGAGCCTGGCAAAGGCTCGTCACTTTAAGATCCTGCAGGTTAAGTGTTACATGAACAAAAATGTTTCCTTAGATATTAACTTTACTATTAGCCATTGTCACAGGGCGAGAAAAATGTGCAGCCTGACCGGGACTCGAACCCGGGACCTTCGGAATACCGTACCGCGGCTCTACCGACTGAGCTATCCGGCAGCTTACACATCTTCTCCCCTAAATAGTGAACAGTTCTGAACCGTGACACCATCATGTTCACACAATTGAAATATTTCTACATGTAAGAGTATGTGTACTGGACATCTAAAAAAGAACTAACTGCTGTCAGCAAAATTATCTACATGTATTATTACTGCTTGAAAGTAAAATAAAAGCCTAGATAGTGCAGGTATTTTCTAAATTCAATTCTGAGAATAACTGAGTGAGATCATAGCAAGAGTTATGGTTTTCATAAGTGGCCTACAATTTATCATCCCTGAAATATATTTGAGCCAGAAGTTTCAACTTAATACCTTCAGTGGTTTATGAGGAAAGACTTGCATGTAAATACTCAACGAAAAGAACAGTGTACAATTCATTATAAATTGCAAGATAAAGTAATCTTGGAAAATGAGCAAAAATTACATGAAAAATGTATGATAAAAGACATATTTTAAAATGTTTTGTGAAGTTTTCGGTGATTCAGGAATTTGGGGAAAAAACCTTAGCAAGAAACATTTTAGGTTAAGAAAGGTGTATAATTCAGTTGTGTATATTCGTAATTCATTCAGGAGTAATGAGTCTTAGATGGTAAGCATTTTCAATAACAAGTTATTTAAATTTTCATTTAATAATCATTTACTTCACATTTGATGAATCTGCTGTTTGTAAGTCTGTCTCTGATAGGTCAGCACAAGCCATTGCTGTTTGAGATCCACCAATCACAGGCTTTGTTTCATCTGATACTTCAGAGAATGTAAGTGAGTATATAACTGGTTGATTTTCTGTTGCAAACAACAAAATATTTCCTTTAGGGCTCCAACAGGCTGTCTGAAATATAAATATCAAATGCAACAGCGTTCACATCATTTCAAGAAATACGTTGGCCTTATACTGCAATATTCGTGGTTCCCTGGATGCATACAGTTAAAAGCACATTATGCCTCAGAAATGATTTAAATTTTCCTTCTTCAGATAGGGCAAACATGAGTTTTATAATGTTTAAATAATGATTTAGAGAATGCTGGATGCATACCATCTGAAGACAGTAGTGCTGAAAGTAAAATTATTTGTCTAAATAGTAGCAAAGTGTAAACAAAGAAGTATTTTGACTTCCATACAAAATCACTGTAACTGTACTTATTGCAAAAAGAAGCAAAGGATGGTTCAGAAAATTGGCCAATGAATAATGTTTTTGAAACTTTAAGAGGATACCAAAAAGAAAAGCTTTTAGAACATGAAAATTAAAGCATTTCTTTGCATAATTAGCCTTTAATTTAAAGACACATTATGCACTTAAGAATCCATATCTTTTTATTCTAACATGTGTTTATAATGTTTTTATAATGGATAATAATTAAGAGCATTTTAAACATTGAATAACTGCAGACACTGGCCCTGGAGACACAGTAAATATGTTATCAAGGTAGCAAAATGTAAACAAAGTAGTATTTTGACTTCCAAACAAAATAGTAATTCACTATAATTCTATCAATTGCCAACAGAGCAAAAGAAGCAAATAATAGTTTATCAACATGGCAAACAAGAAGTTTTTTGAAACTTTATCTAGATAACAAAGTTTTAAGAAATAAAATGGAAGTAAATGTGAGGCATAATGGGCCTTTAAAATATATTCCATTATGTCATGGGGTGTAACATTATCATCAATTCTGGCAATGCTGTAAAAAGATTCACAGCTATAGTAAGCACACACATTAACATCATTCTTTTAAACCAGCGGCACCAGATTAATGTTAATTCAAATGAAAATTTTCAAATTTATCAAATATGTAGAAATACTGTCAAGTGTAAAAATCAAGTGATTTGACTGGAACAGTTTCTTGTACTGTCCAAAAAAGTCACATAAAACAAGCCATCCCATGCAGAAATACTTATTACTGTTGGTGACTTAGTAGATATATGGTAACAAATATTGTGTTCCTGTAATATTTTGCATCTGAACATAAAAAGAATCAATTTGTGTAAATATCTATAAATTTCTTGATAAGTTTTTTTGTCAATTATTTCTCTAGTTTTGATTTTTTTTTTTTGAAAATTTATAAATTCATCTGGTGGTATGAGGCTGTTACATGAAATAAGCAATATTTAGATAGTACTCATCTTTCACTTCAATCTATTGTTACATACACATGTTATTGCTCCTAGTAGGTAAGGTCAGATTTGCAAAGAGGAAATATAAATATGATGACACATGTAAATGTACCTTGCAAGGTCCTGTTGAAGTTGACCATTTCTCACAACTCCATGTTCTTGTTTCCCATACTCTGGAATCATGTTAATATACATGTATATAAAAAGTTATGAACCCATTTTAAATCATCTTAATCCTATACAAAGTTAAGTATTGCTGTCTGTGCTACAGTGTACACACATTTAAACATTAAGTTAGCATTGTAGCTTCCTCACATAAAAGAATGTAAAGTTTCTTGTAGCAAACTGACAGCAGTGACAGGCAAATTATTTAAAGTTACCTTTACCATTCTGCCCTAGCAATTTAATATAAATAAAGCCATTGAAATAAACCTGTTTTTCACTATTTATTTGTGCAAGTGAACTTAAGCTGTGGACAAGTAGAAATTTTAGTCCAACTTGTCCATGGGCAAGTGGAATAAATCCAAAATTCCACACCCCTGTGCAATTTGTAATAAAACAAGAGCTGTCAACAGGACGGCATGCTCGACTATTCTCAATGTTAAGTAGTAAAAGAAGAGCTTGGATAATGTAAAATTTTCTAAGTGAAAAAAGGGCCATAATTCTGTCAAAATCCTAAATTGAGTTATGGGCCTTGGACAGTGCCTTATTTTGCTCTCAAATAAATGAGAGAAGTTTCATCCCATTCACTAGTTTTGGAGATACCAACTTGCATGCAAAACCTTTACCAAAATGTGACAGCGACCCCAACACCAGTGCCAAAAGCCTGAGCAAGTACAATAGCCTTCCCTTTTCTTGTAATAGTCAAGTTAAAAAAATTGACATAAAGCAAACCTGAACAGATTAGAAGGTGTGGCGGAGAAGAGTTTACTGCCATCTGGAGACCAAGCAACCAGTGACACACCCCCTCCACCAAATCTACGGAGTGGTGTACATGTTTCCAAGGCAACATCCCATGCCATCATTGCTGTATCCACTGGGGATGATGACATTAAAATACGGCCATCAGGACTCCACGACAGACTTGTTATCGGACAATGTCCACTCTCCTGTAGAACTTGTACTGAACTTGATGATGGTCTGAAATATATCCACATTCACAAACATTAAGAATAATGACAATTTTCAAAATAAATAGAAATACTTGTGAAAAAATGTTTAATTCACTTACTTTTCTCTCCTACCTTAAACAATGTTGCAAAAACAAATGTGTTATTCAGTCATGAAAATGAGATAATATATATAGGATCCTATATAGGATGAAGTTAATCAGTATGAAATAGAAGCTTTTCACTATTGTTATTGTTTCTCCAAATAAAATATTTACTACTAAGCTCAGCATTAAGCTTGTGGACCTCTTATAAATTGGTTGCTAGTTTTATCTCCAACTGGCTTTCTTAGATAACTATCCAGTTAATTACCAAATTTTTCCATGTGTGACTAAAACTATAATCTTGTGACTGACTAAAATCCCATTTGATTTTTGAAAAAGTGGGGACAGACAAATGACCAATTAGATTTAATGTTAGAGTCAAGTTGTCATGGAGAAATTTCTTAAAATAGTTACATCTGTGGGCTAGGGGGCAAATTTCCTTTTACTCCCCTAATCAAGCTTCGTTTAATAGTTAAATAACATTTTTAAAGATTTCAAATGCTTATAATTAATTGTACTTGTACTTGTTTAAAAACATCACTGAAAACAATCCTCTAAAAAAAACATCCTACATTTTTGGATCAGTGTGGTTTAACAATGTGACTAAGCATTTATCTAGATCAGGAACTTTTCACCAAATCTCAACTTACAATGTCCTTATTTCTATTCCTCATAATTATTCAAGACACAAAATCTATTTTCTTTACATATTAAGACACAATAAAGTATGACAGATAAATTGTTAGTGTTTTATAGTTTGGTAGAGAGATATTACCTTGTAGCTAGTGATTGGTTTGGTTTCTACATGCCATTATCAGAATGACAAGATTGACAGGCCAACTGCTAGTACTGATGATGAAATTCGGTTCTGAAATATAGAGAAACCACAGACTGAAGGGGAAAAAATAACAACTAAAAGATATCGAATAACCATACCCTTTACTGAGCATTTTGAATTGATTTTCACGACAAGAATGCCGCAACTTATAAGATTAGTTTGTCTAGCTACTTATATTTTACTAGACCTGGACAATACATAAATATGGCCTGATAGTAGTGTGTTCTATTCTCATTTTCCTAGCATGATGCTGAAATTTTCTAATTCATGTAGATAATAATTGAGGAAAATCAAAATATTTGCAAGTAACGCCTGATGCTAATTACTCTTGAGACATAAATGAAGTTTCATGTTGTTTGTGGAAATAAGTACTTGCATGTAAAATCTTAACATGGGAAAAAGTTTTAAAAAACTGAAAATCCTTTTTTTTTTGTTTTTTTTATCCAAACACCCCCTTTCACATGCTAATATCTTATTAATGGACATACGACAACCTTCAATCAGGACAAAACTATGTCAATCCATTTGAAGGGTAAATTTCTAAAATATTGGGCTGCATAGCATGGCAGACCATGATCAGATAAGATGTGACTACTGATGGGACACGCTGAGAAAGATATTAAATAGTCAAAAATTTTATACAATCAAACAGATCAAAGTAAAATTTAACTTCCTTAATTATCATATAAAATACTGTACAAACATGTTAAAAAATTGTTGAATTTACTGTCATGCAAATTCATTTGTTGTTTTCAAAGCTACAAAACAAAAAGATAATCTTTATCCAAAATTTTTCAAAAAAGATATATCAGCAACATTTTACAAATAGAAGAAAAAGATCAAGATTTCCATTGTTTAAACCATTATAATGCAAAAAAGTTTAAACATGCAACTTTAAAGCTACTCTGTGGAAGAAGAAAAAAACCAGAAGAATCTTTTTCTTCATAAATAACATATTGTGAATGTCAGAGATACTTGAATATCAGACAAAATAATTTCAGAACAAATCTGGATATAACAGAGACACTAACAAGCTATAAACAAGAGCAGCCAAATGCTGTGCATAACGCTGGTCTGTTATTAATAAATTTTGACAAAAATTCATGTAAAAAAAACAAACCGAAAAACTCATAAAATATTTCTTTCAAAATAATGTCTTACAACTGTACTTTTTAACAAGTATCATGTTGATACCATAGTTCTTCAGTTAAAAGCAAAGTCAAGATGTTGGAAGGGGTAAGAACGGTGTGAAAATTTCATAATTCTTGATTTTATAAGAAAATATATAAACTCTAGCTTTACTACTAATATCCGTCAAACATGCTTTAATTGACAAGATCTTCTGTTTTTATGAGCATACAAGTACTTACAATTCTATAAAAAGAAATTAAATGAGTGTTAACACTAGTTTAAGATACTTCTCCAGTTTGTTTGAGGATTTATAAAAAAGAAAATCTAAAAAAATAAAATGTGCATTCACAAGTTTTTGCTACAAACAATATTTGTTTGCTACATTTTGATGTACACAGAAGCTAATCTGAGTGCTGATGCGGTGTATTCCATGCTAGCTGCTAAAATAGATACAATTAACAGTGAAATGTCCTTGTTACGTCGTGTTCTAATGTCAACCAAATCAGAACTGGCATTTACTCAGACAAAACTAAAATCAACTGAGACAGAAGTAAACATAATAAAAAGACAATGTGGACTTATTTCAGGAATCACAACAAATGTAAGTTAACACATTCTATAACTATGCTAGCTGGGATAGACTTTTCATACATGTGAGGTTGAAGGAAATAACCATTGCTTGCTTTTTTCTATATAAATCCAATAATGACAAAATTTTGTATCATTAATTAAGCATTTTAAAATAATTTTCAGACAAGGTCTCCAATCACTCCAACTGAAAACTCTACAAGTACCTCATTTGAAGATGAAACATGTTGCCAAGTTGTTGAAAAGGCAATTATAAGAATGAAAGCAGAACAGAAACAGACAAAACAAGATATAGAAAATGTGTAAGTTGATGTCCTTTTATAATAATTTTATAAAACTTTATATTTCTTTAGACAAATACAGAATTATCTTTTAAATATAACAAGAGCTGTGGGTAGGACAGCATGCTTATCTATTCTTTTAACATGAGCCTGGATAATGTAGTTTTGTAAGTTCAAAAGGGCCTTAATTCTGTCAAAATCCATGTTAGAGTTATGGGTTTTGCATAGTGACAAATCATGCTTTCAAGAAGTGTGTGTGAAGTTTCAACCTCCTTCATACAAACTTGCTTGCAAAAACTTTACAAAAAAGTGACACCGATGCCAGTGTAAGTACAAAAGAACTTCCTATTCTTTAAATTTTGGACTTAGCCTTAGATTATCATGAATTTACGACATATCAGAAGCTTATCCTGTATATGAACCCTTCAAAGTATAAAAGATTTATCTGTTAATGGCTATACCTGACATAAGTGTTTGAAAAAGTTCATCTTATGTATTGATTTTTTAGCAAATCCTTTACTTCAAGCATAATGCTTTAAGAGGGAGTTTATATTTTTATAACTTTGAACACAAAAAGTACTGTAAATGTAAAAGGTATTAACAATGTGTGTCATTTAAATATGTACTACACTAATTTTTGGGAAGAATTTTTTTATTGAAGCAATTTGTTGAAATCTAGAAAATTCTAACTGAAAATGTCTAATTTGTAAGAAAATGCATCATCTAAGTTTGAAAAGCTGCATTTCCTATTACTGGTCAAGTTAATTTGGTCCGCTTTTAAAATATGCCAGTTTTTTTTAATGACAATGCTATGCTTCAAAGATAACCTCAAGATTGCGATTTTAGCCAAGCAATTTCAAAAACTATCAAAGACAGTAAAAGTTACATGTATGACCCAGACAAAAAAGAGATAAACTCCAATTTTGGCAATTTTATACATCTACAATTCTGGCCAATTTATACATCTTCAATTCTGGCCACTTTATACGTCTATAATTTTGGCCACTTTATACATCTACAAATTTGGCAATTTTATACATCTACAATTTTTGCCATTTTATACATCTACAATTTTGGCCATTCTATACATCTACAATTTTGGCCATTCTATACATCTACAATTTTGGCCATTTTTCTACATCTACAATTTTGGCCACTTTATACATCTACAATTCTGGCCACTTTATACGTCTACAATTTTGGCCACTTTATATGTGTACAATTTTGGCCACTTTATTATGCACATAGAACATCATTCGACAATGTTCAATTGATATATGCCACAGACAGAAAGAAGAGGCATTAACTATATCACTACCTTTAGGGACATATGAAAGATAACTTTATTTTCTTAGCATAGATTCTTTTTTTTTCTTCAAAATTTCTCCGACAAAAAAGCAGTTACTTTGAGGAAATAAAAAACATTGGCAGCTTACAGTTTAACATAAATAACATTTGATTTCAAACCATACCAATATATTTTAGAGACACTATTATATAATGTTAGATTTATATATATAATATGTATATTTCAATTTTATTTATTTCACATAAATGCAGGATAGAGAAGAAAATGGCTGAAGTGAATGAAGATATTGCAAGAAATAGTGAGGGGCTGGTATCCATGGAGACTAACATAGACAAACTGGCTGTAGACCTTGTTAGCTTCAGGAACAACAGTGACAAAAAGTTGGTAAAGATTGGACAAGAGGTAAAAGTGTTGACCGGAGAGATGGCAAGTTACAACTTGGAAATGGTGAAAAAGGAGACAAAAATAATAAAAACTAATAATGACTTAAATGCCATGTCTAAAAATTTTGACAACCTAACACAACAAATGAGAAATGAAATGAAAGATATCAAAAAAGAAATATCAAATAACACTCATGATCTAATAAATTTGGAAAGAAATGTGGCTAAGGAATCTGAAAATCTCATGGCACTATCGAACAACCATGAAAAACTTTCCACAAAGGTTGAACAACAACAAAATAACTTTAATGAAGAGATACAAAATACAAAAATGTATCACCTTAAAACCAAATCAGAGTTAGAAAAACTTTCAACCAACCTCAGTGACTTCTCAAACAATCATGCTAGACTTGCTGAGACAGTTCAAGACCAGAAATCAGAAATCACAGAGGTTGTAAAATCTGAAATGGAGAAGACTGAGCATTGTCAATCCGGTCGTGTCCATCATTGGAATAGCAGCAGTCCATTTCCCATCACATTTACAATAACTTTCAAGAAGCCTTTTACAAACACACCTGTATTTACCATGGGTGCTTCACTGCTTGACTTCTATAAAGACAAAAATTTGAGACTATCATTGACTGTGAAAGAATTATCGAAGGAACAAGCAAAAGTACATGCTTCAATATGGGCTGATACAAGAATCTGTGCTGCTGGTTTTCATTGGATGGCTTGCCCGACATAAAAATTTGCATAACTGTTATAACTTAGTGACCATTTTTCTTCAGAGTTAACTTAAGTTTTATTTTGTTACAGAATGGGTCCGGTACCGTGAAAATTATGGACAAAATAAAACGGTAATTGTGTTTTTTTTTCTTTTTAAATGAAAAGTTATATATACAATTACTTTAATCAAACTATACACTCAGATTGGTTCTTATATAATCTGTTCTTTTTCTTTCTTACATCAAAAATACTATTTTGGAACCCAAATGACCATCTTTCAGATATTTTACAAGAAATTCACCAATTCTTTCAAGAGTTTTTTTGTCTGTTACATTGTCCTTTATTATTTGGTTAACTGTCTGACTGTCACATTGGATACATTCAGCTTCAAAACATCTTTGTAATCAAAGTATTAAACTATAAAATTCTAAGTGTTATTGTTCACATTGAATACTTTTGGATGAAAAATATCATAGGAGATGTAAATGTTAAGAACAACATAAATATTTTTTAACCTCTGGCATGTTTTTTCTCCTATGTTTTTAAAATTCAGGGTTCGTACAGACATCCAATGCCAAAATTCAAGGACTTTTTAAGCACTATTTAAGCACGTATTCCCATATTTCAAGCACATTTGTTGCACATATACCGACACAATCTTCAACCTATGATGGATAGTTTGTTCACCATTTTTTGTTAAATACACATTTTCTAACATTATAGAAGAACAACTAAGGGTGCATCAAGTACAGATTAGTTCAAAACAACTGCAATTTGTCCACTAACTGTTACCTTGAGTAAACATTTCATTGATTTTGATACTAAATTGGCTCTTTTTTTTATTTTGTTAACCGTTGATTTTTATCAAAACTATGTCATTCTGTGATTCAAACATTTTCAAGCAAATTTAAGCACTTTTTAAGCACTTTTCAAGAGAATAATCAAATTCAAGGACTTTTAAGCACTATTTTACATTTTTAAGCACTTTTTAAGAATTATCTGAAAGGAAATTTTTAAAAAAAGTTCTGATTGAATAGGGAACAGTGCATACCATTGTTAAAGGTCATTTTTGTTATGAGGTCAGCCAGTCAAAGGTCAAGGTCACTTATCCAACTAACATACAATAAATATATAGAATGCTTTGTTATAATTAGTCTAAAGATTTTGTGTTTAGGTCAATGATTATTAGTACATGTAGCTGTATTGATTTTAAGGTCAGTCGTCAAAGGTCAAGGTCACCTTTTTTTTTTTTAATTTAAATTACCCATATCTCATTTTCGTTGCTGTGTTATAAATAATTATTTTTACCTTGGTAATTGCAATTTTTCTAATGTTTAATGAAGTAGGTCCTTTTTAAATTTAAGTATGGTATATATGTGTATTTAATATTTACTGTCAGTTATTGAGTACATTATGAAAACTGTGTAATGGGAAGTTACATTTACAGGGTTCGTACAGTTTTAAAAAATGCTTTAATTTGAGTTTGAAAGATGGACAAGTTCATTTAAGATATTTATTAGGCTAAGGGTTAACAGAAACAATAAACAAATGCATGACCTGTAAATAATTCAACAATAATAATTTGACAAAAATATTTTTTTTGTTACCTGATGAATGTGTGAGCATAATATATTTCACATGTATAGTTATTTTTTAACAAAAAGAAATGATGTATGTGACAATAGTGAATACATTTTTGTTTTACATTGTGATTTTTATTTAAGTTTTTCTTAACAATGTGAATAATATACTTCCTTTTATTTTTTGGGGGTGTCTGGGGGTTTTCATATTATTTCTTCATTAGGCCAAAAAAAAAAAAAATTCTGTGTTTAGGGGAACAGGCTGAAAAAAGTTAGGTAGGGTAGGTACCAAGGTTTTTTTGGTTTCTTTTTAATCCTTAGGAAATCACGAATGTTGTGGTTGAAAGGATGCTGCTTTTTTATACCATTTCTAATGCTTTAGTTCATGTACCTACTTCAAACCACTTGCCCCTCACCACTGTGGGTTTGAATCCCTACAGGAACTAGCTATCCAGCTAGCTTACGGAATGTTGTGGTTCTACTCAGGTACCCGTTTGTGCCTGAAATAATGCATGGAAGTGCACCCGAAGCCTTCCTCCACCAGTAAAGCTGGAACAACGCCAAATGACCTAGACTGTGTCCGTGTGACATAAAACCCAATAAAACAAAACAAACAATCATGAACCCAACTGTGCTCATCTGTTTTACTCATGATGTGCTAATAGAAAGGAATTTAAGTTAACGTCACACATGTTAGAGTTTTACACGGATGCTGACAACCTGGCTTTAACAATATTTTAAAAGTGATTGGCCAGAATTGTCCACCATATACAAATTATGATGTTATGGAGCTGCCGGCAATTTCTGGTTGCTGTTGATGATAGGATTCGTTCAAAATGCCTTTGCATGAAGACCTTAGTATTGCACATATATACAAATATTTATCATCCATACAACTTTATCGCCTTCAAATATTTAGAATAGAATATGAAAATTCAAACTTGAAAAAAAATCATAGACTTAATATCACATTGCTGTCCAGTTGAAATGAAAAACCATTCATCATCTTAAGGAAAAAAATCAAAATGAGCCGCGTCACGACAAAACCAACATAGTGCGTTTGCTACCAGCATGGATCCAGACCAGCCTGCGAATCCGCTCAGTATGATCAGGATCCATGCTGTTCGCTTACCAAAATCTATTACAAGTAGAGAAACTGTAAGCGAACAGCATGGATCCTTATCAGACTGCGAGGATGCGCAGGCTGGTCTGGATCAATGCTGTTCACTAACACACTATGTTGATTTTGTCATAGTGCGCCTCAAATATTGACTGCATAGCGTTCAAAGGATGTGCCCGTTGATGTGACACTGACAAAGATATTACATAGTCAAAATTTTATCTAAATAATCAAACATATCAGCATAAAATTTAACTTCCTTATTTATCATATAAATACCTGTACAAACATGTTAAACAAATGTTGAATTTACTGTCATGCAAATTCATTTGTTGTTTCAAAGCTACAAAACAAAAGATAATCTTTGTCAAAATTTTTCAAAAGATAAATCAGTAACATTTTACGAATAGAAGAAAAAGATAAGATTTACATTGTTAAACATTATCAAGTAGAAACAGTTTAAACATGCAACTTTAAAGCTACTTTGTGGCGAAAAAACAGAAGAATTCTTTTCTTCATAAACAACATGTTTTGAATGTCAGAGATACCTGAAAATCAAACCTCAATATCAGAGAAAACAATTTGAGAGGCATCTGATTTTCAGAAAAATTTAAATATTGGAGAAACCTAAATTTCTGATAACCTGAATATCAAAGAACCATAATACTGAAGAAACCTGAACACAAAGGACCAGATTACTGGAGAAACCTGAACATCAAAAAACCAGATTACTGGAGAAACCTGAACACAAAGGACCAGATTACTGGAGAAACCTGAACATCAAAAAACCAGATTACTGGAGAAACCTGAACACAAAGGACCAGATTACTGGAGAGACCTGAACATCAAAAAACCAGATTACTGGAGAAACCTGAACACAAAGGACCAGATTACTGGAGAAACCTGAACATCAAAGGACCAGATTACTGGAGAAACCTGAACATCAAAGGACCAGATTACTGGAGAAACCTGAACATCAAAGGACCAGATTACTGGAGAAACCTGAACATCAAAGGGCCAGATTACTGGAGAAACCTGAACATCAGAAAACCAGATTACTGGAGAAACCTGAACATCAAAAAACCAGATTACTGAAAGAATCTGAACATCAAAGAACCAGATTACTGAAAGAACCTGAACATCAAAAAACCAGATTACTGAAAGAATCTGAACATCAGAGAACCAGATAACAGAACCTGGATATCAGAAACCAACCTAAATATCACAGTTACACTGACTTTTTTTTAACAAAGCACAACATTTTATTTTCTTACAACTATAGTTATATATTAACCTTCACAATGTACCAAAATATAGGGGTAGGTGTGTAAGAGGTGGTTTTCCAAAAATTAAATGAAAATTGCCAAGGCAATCACACATAACAAGTAAAGAATAATGGTTGGTGATTAGTGGATACCGTCATGTGATACAACATAGCTTGATGATTGGGCAAAAATTATTAGCTAAATGCTGTGCCTATTGCTGTACTAAATTGTGTATAAAATAATTAAGAATGTACAAAGACATAAAAAACAACATTGTTACCATAAACTTCTATTTATGATTTTGTCCATGGAAAGAACGTCACAGAAAGGTCCAAGCTTGTATTGGGGCAGGGAAACAACTGTCTTACAATTGTACCTTTTCATGATAAACATGTATCAATGGGGATTAACTGCTAAAAATATAGCTTCATGATAATTTCCCTTGCCTAGCAACTGTTCCTTGTCATGACAATCAAGCATTTCAAGTTTCATGTTGATAGATTCATAAAGTATTGGAAGGAATAAGAGTGGGTGTGGACAAAAAGAAGCAAAGTTTTAATAAACTGTATTCTTATGTACTGACAGACCAATTAAAAATTTTTTTTTTAATTTCATACTTTTTGACTTTATAAGGAAAATATGAAAACTCTAGATTTTCAGCAAATGTCCGTCAAACATGCTTTAAGTGTGGACAAGATCTTCTGTTTTTATGAGCATACAAGTACTTACAATTCTATAAAAAGAAATCAAATGCGTGTTAACACTAGTTTAAGGTACTTCTCCAGTTTGTTTGAGGATTTATAAAAAAGAAAATCTAAAAAAATAAAATGTGCATTTACAAGTTTTTGCTACAAACAATATTTGTTTGCTACATTTTGATGTATACAGAAGCTAATTTGAGTGCTGATGATGTGTATTCCATGCTAGCTGCTAAAATAGATGTGATTACCACTGAAATGTCCTTGTTACGTCGTGTTCTAATGTCAACCAAGTCAGAACTGACTTCAACCAAAGCTGAACTGACATCAACCAAGTCAGAACTGACATCAACCAAAGCTAAACTGACATTAACTCAGACAAAGCTAAAATCAACTCAGGCAGAAGTTGATGTGATAAAATCACAATGCAGACTTGTTACAGGAATCGCCACAAATGTAAGTTAACAATTATTTAAATGCTATGTTTCAAATAACAAATTTCACTTTCTTAAAGATATCTTCAAACATGGTTAAGTGCATTGACATTATTTCTTAAAACATGTATTAGCACATTATACTGTCATGTAATTGTTTAAGTTTCTGAACACCAACTCAACTCACCAACACCAATTTCTGACTTCCTCCAAAGTAGTCTCTTAACAACTATCTATAAACAAGCAATTGGCCTAAATGCACTCAACTCAGGACAGAATGGTGCCAGTGTAAAACAATGAAAATCCATGTAGGCTATAACAAGGTCCTGTAAACTTTTAAAATTCACTGGACCTATTGTATTGAAAATAAAGTTCACAATGTCTGTTTATTTAGAGCAAAAATTAATGCAACAGCAAAGAACAGCTAAATATTTTTATAGTTATTAATTGGAAAAGATTTTGATGATAACTTAATCTTTGACACACTGACTGACCTTAAAATCACTGGGGGTCATTTTCTGGTATAACCAATCTCCCCCATTAAATGTTTAATACTGTCAGCTAAATCATTCTCAATTCATTGATCCATCACATTTCTAATGGTCAAAGCTATAGTTATCTTGACCTTTGTCTGACTGACTTAATTTAAAATAGAAAAGGGGCCCTCTTCTTATCATGACAAACCTTTAACCAAATTTTAGGACTGTAGATCAAACAAGGAACATCGCAATGCGATGCAACCAGGTTTTCAGCAAAATATTTCACAGAAGCTTTGTCATGAAGGGGCATTTGTTTTTATTTGAACTTTTAGGAGGAATTATGGTTTTTTTAATATTCCTCATACAAAAATGATTGAGAAATTTTATGTTGTCTATTCGCCTTTTTTTCCCAAATGTTTTAGAAAGGTAAACAGTACTTTATTTTTGCTTAATTTTTGCATTTTTGCGTCTCTTGTCATTTTCTTTTGTCAACAATATTGGTGTGTGGTGTTTTGTGCGATATTAAGAAAAGTATGTTCACAATTTTAAAAAAATACTTGAATGATGTCTTGGAAGAAACATGGGAATTTAGTGAGCGCCAGGGCACTTGATGACAAAGCTTCTGTGAAAGTTTGGTCAAAATCCATTGAGAAATGTAGAAGTTGCGCACTGAAGAAATTGTTCACTATATATTCTGTATAAGGAAAAATATACAAAGGGCCATAATTTGGTCAAATATTATCCAATCACAAAACCCCGACAATATGTGCCAGGCACTTGAAAACAAAGCTTCTAAGAAAGTTTGGTCAAAATCCGTTGAGAAATGTAGGAGGAGTTGAGCACAGAAGAAATTGTTCTCTATATATTCTGTATAAGGAAAAAATATACAAAGGGCCATAATTCGGTCAAATATTATCCAATCACAAAACCCCGACAATATGTGCCAGGCACTTGATAACAAAGCTTCTAAGAAAGTTTGGTCAAAATCCGTTGAGAAATGTAGGAGGAGTTGCGCACAGAAGAAATTGTTCACTATATATTCTATATAAGGAAAAAAAACAAAGGGCCATAATTAGGTCAAATATATACCAATTGCAAAACCCTGGCAATATGTGTCAGGGCACTTGATGACAAAGCTTCTGAGAAAGTTTGGTCAAAATCTGTTGAGAAATGTAGGAGGAGTTGCGCACAGAAGAAATTGTTCACTATATATTTTATATAAGGAAAAAAAACAAAGGGCCATAATTAGGTCAAATATTATCTAATCGCAAAACCCCGACAATATGCGCCAGGGCACTTGATGACAAAGCTTCTGTGAAAGTTTGGTCAAATTCCGTTGAGAAATGTAGGAGGAGTTGCGCACAGAAGAAATTGTTTACGCCCGCCCGTCCCGCCGACATACCTCAATCTAATAACCAGTTTTTTCCTTCGGAAAACCTGGAGGGCACTTGATGACAAAGCTTCTGAGAAAGTTTGGTCAAAATCTGTTGAGAAATGTAGGAGGAGTTGCGCACAGAAGAAATTGTTCACTATATATTTTATATAAGGAAAAAAAACAAAGGGCCATAATTAGGTCAAATATTATCTAATCGCAAAACCCCGACAATATGCGCCAGGGCACTTGATGACAAAGCTTCTGTGAAAGTTTGGTCAAAATCCGTTGAGAAATGTAGGAGGTGTTGCGCACAGAAGAAATTGTTTACGCCCGCCGCCCCCGCCCGCCCGCCCGCCCGACATACCTCAATCTAATAACCAGTTTTTTCCTTCGGAAAACCTGGTTAACAATACTCTAGTTATTTGTCAGACAAATTTTAAATTGGCAATGCCAAAGTAAAACTTTGATCTTAGACTGACTAGCCTCAAAACCAATCCAGGCTTTACTACTGACCTTAACACTTAATTTTAGGATAATGTAGCCCAAACTGAATCCTCTAGTTTTGAGTTGGACAAGTTTTTCTGGTCAATGCCACTGAACTTGACCTTCAACCAACTGACCCCAAAATTCAATCATCTCCATGTTTAAATTTTCCACTGTAAGCCAAATTGGTTAGACAAATTATGCCGGTCAAAAGCTATACATAGCTTATGTTTTGTGAAATTTTATAATATATACTGACAATAAATTTGTTTGTTTGTTTGTTTCATTTTACGCCTTTATCAACAGTATTTCAGTCATATAGGCGGGTAGTTTCCTAACCATCGTTCCTGGAGAGTTACACCAGTACTAGACTACCTTCCTCCGCGCTAAACTACCAAAGCATCTCCCGGGGCTGACAATAAATAAATTTTGATTTGATTAGACGTGCTTTTCTAGGTTAAGACCACTGTGACTTTGAACTTCTACTGAACTCAAAAAAAATTGGGATCATCTACTAGTTACTACAAACCTCAACACAAATTGCAGTAAAATAACAGTTTTTTATTTCACTGATATATTTCTATAAACTACTGAAAAGCATGTTATAAAAGACATTTTAATTAATTTTTAGACAACGCCTCCAATTACTCCACCTGGAAACTCTACAACATGTTGTCAAGTTGTTGAGAAGGCAATTGTGAGAATGAAAGCAGAACAGAACCAGGCAAAACAGGATATAGAAAACTTGTAAGTTGATATTCTGTATATTTTAAACAGGGTCCAGTTTTCAGAGTTTTTACTGTACATCTACAATTTAGGCCACTTTATACATCTTTGTATAGGCTATATGCTTAGGACCTTAATCTTGCAAATAACACATCATACTGTCAATGTTTAATCTGCAACAGACGGATGGAAAGGCATTTACTATATCACTACCTTTAGGGACATAAGAAAGATATTTATTTTCTAGCATAGATTTTTTTTTTATTTCTTCAAAATTTCTCTAACAAAAAAGCTTGAGTGAATAAAAACATTTGCAGCTAACAGTTTAACATGAATAACATTTGACTTTAAAAACCATACCAATATATTTTAAAGACACTTTTATATAATGTTAGATTATATATGCAATAATTGTGTATTTCAATTTTATTTCCCATAAATGCAGGATAGAGAAAAAAGTGACTTGAAGTAAATGAAGATATTGCAAGAAATAGTGAGGGGGTTGGTATCCATGGGAACTAATATAGACAAACTGGCTGTAGACTTTGTTAGCTTCAGGAACATCACTGAAATACAGCAGACAGAGCACTGTCAATCAGGATATGAGAAGCATTTTGGAAACGCAACACTCCATTTCCATATACATACACAATAAATTTCAAGAGGCCGTTTAGAAACACACCTGCATTTACCATTGGAACTTCAAAGTTTGACTTCTATCATGGCAGAAATTTGCGACTATCACTTGTTGTGAAAGAGATATCTGCCACCCAAGCCCAAAGTACATGGAAGCATATGGTCAGATACAATAGTGTATGGTGCAGGTTTTTATTGGATGGCTTGTCCAACATAAAACAGCATAAACATTACCACTGATAAAATTTCTGCAATGAAGACTTGTATTCTGCTTCATAATATATGTATGTCCTAAAAGCCTATATGTTCTTATAAACATATAGATGTGATAAGTCTGTATGTCTAAAAAGTCTAAACTTTTGACTGACTCCAAATCATTATTATCATATCATTATGGTTAACATTTCTGCCAGGTTTTAATTTCCTTCCAACAGTCCAAAATACAGACAAGACACGAAAACTGCTAACAGACGGACAGACAGATAACCAGGTGCATAACATTTTACTGTTTACACCAAAATTTATTTGGGCATATAAAAAGGTAAACACAGTTTATATATAACAAGACCGGTTGAACCGGGTGATGCCCCCGAGAAGGTTTTGGACACAGGAAAGAATAAAAAAATGAACAAAGTGCAAAAACTCCAAAATAACGCAGGTGATGTTATGTTTTTTTGCACTGCACTTCTATTCAATGAGATCTATCTATCTATAAAGTTTTCTGATGATATCTCTTATAGTTTCAGAGTTATGTCCCGGGTAAAATTCATAGTGTAGAAATGAACAAAGGGCAATAACTTCAAAATAAGGCAAGGCAGAGTTATGATTTTCTAGCACTGTACTTCTACCCAATGATACCTATCTATCTACAAAGTTTCATGTTGATATCTCTTATAATTTTAGAGTAATGTCCTGGACAAAGTTCAAAGTGTAAAAATGAACATAGGGCATTAATTCAAGTATTAGGCAAGGCAGGGTTACGGTTCTTGTGCACTGCACACCTAATCAATGATATCTATCTACCTACAAAGTTTCATGTTGATACCTCTTATTGTTTAAGAGTTATGTCCCGGACAAAGTTCAAAGTGTAAAAATAAACAAAGGGCAATAATTCAAAAATTAGGCAAGGCAGAGTTATGGTTCTTGTGCTATGCACACCTACACAAAGTTTCATGTTGATACCTCTTGTTGTTTCAAAGTTATGTCCGGGACAAGAAAAGCGGAAGGATGGGCGGACGTACCAATTTTTCAGGTTTATGAGCTATTTCTATTGTTCTTTTCTTTTGTTTCCTTGTGGGCTAACTATTGTTTACTTATGAGCTAACTATTATTTACGGAATGAAGTCCTTTGATCTCTTTTGTCCAAGTGTACCGTTAGTTAGCTCATATACTAAAGTGTTTGTGCTGAGGAACGGACGGACGGACAGACCTACGAAATGGTACTTTGTGACTTTTCCTTTGATCTTTTTAGCCATTTTTAGTCACACAAGGCTTACAAAAAGACACACAAGTAAAAACGGAATGAATAGGATCAAAGAGAATTTACTGTTACCGATTGTTCTCCTAGTCACACAAGTACCTCTTGGTTTGTACGGACAGACGGACGGACGGACAAGGCGGCAACCATATGCTCCCCCGAAATTTTTCAGGGAGCATAAAAATATCCAATTTAAAAGAACATGCTTATTTTTTCAAAGATTAAAGAATACTTTGCCACAATGAACATTTTTCTTATCATTTTGGATGTAATTTTGATACAAAATACCTCAAAATGAGGTTGCTAGAACTTTAACCAAATAGATATTTATTTGTGTGTTTTCTTTCATGAGGAGACACATCTTGAGTGATTTCTCTACCATATAGTTCATGTTGACCAACTTATTTGAGCATGTAACATTGTCAACACAATCTCACCTTAGGTTCAACGCAAATAAAATAGTCCCAAATATCTTGGTTAAAAATAAAATACATTTATTCAAATTATTACAATTAATTCAAGTGATTTCATGAAACACATACATGTATTTAATAACAATGGTATTAACATAAAACTCTTGTGTTAAAATAATATCAAAATTTGCTACAAATAAATGTACTTTAATCGTCTTGGTGTTTTATGCAAATTGTTTACTCCTGGTTTTCCACTACACAGCAATTTCAAGTCCTCAACAACAGACTAAAAACAGGTCCTTATAAGCCCTACTTGATAGGGTAATATGAAAACGTCTTTTAAAATAATACAAATTGAAAGTGGAAAAAGGACAGATCTTTTGACTAAGTCAGGTGAAGTGAAACATTAACTTTGAGATAAAAAGGGGGCATAATTAAGTTTCAAAGCCATTAATAAAAAGATATACAAGGTTGTCAAAAATGCTGATCTGTTGCTAAAGGGGAATTTTCAAGATAAAATTGGGACTTTTAACAGTTTCAGCAATTAAGAAATTGTTTTTTTAAAGTGTATAAAGCTATTTATCTGCTAAAAAAATATTTTTAAACTTTTAAAAAAGAAAAATTGTTTTTTTAAAGTGTATAAAGCTATTTATCTGCTAAAAAAATTATTTTTAAACTTTTAAAAAAGAATACTTTTAAATTGCTTATATGAAAGAAATATGGCAGTAAATTACCTTAATAAAGAATGGTGTATGTACAAAACAAAATCATTGCTTAAAACGGATAAAATTCTACTTAAAATAGCAGCATAAGATTTTGTTCCAGAACATTTTATTCTGTTTACGTGCAATATTCATGTGTTAAAAATCAAATAACTGAGACATTCTATGTTACAATTCTAGCAAAAATTGACCATGAGATTATTGAAACAATATAATTTTACTGTTGATTAATTATATAAAAGTATTTCATAGGAAATAGCTTTACACCCTTTAAAGCAAAAAATCAGGAATCAGTCAAATAAGGCTAGCCTGAACTTAATTGCAGTAAGATTACAACCCTTAACTGTTAGTATTTGATATTGCAGTTGCTACTATCATCAATGATCAGTTCTAACAAAAAAGTTAATTTTACAACATTGTTATACAAAAAACAAATGACAATCATCATATTTCACCAAATATCTAAATATAACAACTTACTGCCAAGCCAAACAAGCAACATTCTTCTGTAGTTTATGTTTCAATATGGGAACTAGCTCTGTGTGTTTCAGACTCGAGGCAAGCTCTGTAAAGTTTGCATGTACTCTCACAGTATCATCTTTTAAGGCGTAAGAGAATTTCAGTGTGTGTGGATGCCATGCAAATGCTTTGATTTGGCTAACAGTCCTGAAATCAAGAAAATATATCAGCATTTTAAATACAGTCAACTTTTTTTCATACGAAAATCTAAAATGCATACAAATTTGGATGATGATTTAGTTTTTTTTGTTTGTTTTACATTGCATCAACACAGTATAGGTCATACAGCTACTTTCCAGGTTTACTAGTGGAGGACGACTACGAACAGGCATCTAAGGAGAACCACTGACATTAAGTAAGCTAACTGGATAGCTTCCTCACATTAAAAGAATCCAAAGTCAGTGTCAGGATTGGAACCCATAGCAGTAGGGAGAGTGGTTTGAAGTCAAAGATGTTAACCACTCCAGCCACAGATGCCCCTAACTTAGTATTTAATCGATCCCTCAGTACATAACAGTATATATATCAGTGTTTCTTGTTCCACTGTTTAGGAAGTATGAGACTGTATGTAACTATTTTTCACTGTTACACTCACATTTAAAACCCTAAATTAGCAGGTTATGTTGGCCTGAACGCTTGCAGTTTCACACAAGAAGATATACATGTGGTTTACTTCTTTATCTATCAATAATAAGCTACCCCCATTGTAGACCTTTTAAATAATCCAAAAAGGATTTATAAATTAACATTTGTTCTACAAGGCAATGGTACAAGCTAAATATCAAAGATTTAAGACATATAGTTTCAGACAATAAGATTTAAATGAGTTTTCCTAAGCAAACTAAGTGATTAAGTGAAGCCATCCTGTTATAAAATTGGGTAAGATAAAAAGTTTTAACATTCTTACCAGTGAACTACACTTGAAAACCTTGAAACTATGTCTTCATTTGACAACTGCAAATATGAGAAATGACATTCTGATAAAATACCAATGTAAACAATATTATGTGTATCTTTTCATAAACAGTTCTTCAGTTTGTTGAATACATGATGTATGTAATTTTGTCAAAATATTAAGAATTATTAGTAAACAAATAAATGCCACAATTCATTAAAAACAATCAAATGATTGAGTATAAATAATGATACAGTGTGTTAATCTTTACTCATGTGTTGATGAACAATCTGTGATTGACTGAATACTTTTCGAACACTGGCCAAAAAATAATACATTGTAAGTGTAGAAATACTTTTATGTTGTGGATGTTGTACTTGATAAATTAAAAGTCAATTAAAATTATTGTGAACCTTTCAACAGTTTTTTTGACAAACAGATCTAGAAAAATAATTTGACATTTGTTAACTAGACAAACTATTGTATCAACTAAATTGCTAATGAGACATAATTTCTATTTGACCAAATTGTCATGGACATAGAATATATAGGAATGGTCAGTATTGTAAAAACTTGCATGCTGATGCAACTATACTGTTTTTAAAACGTTTTTACAAATTTCTTTCATGATATTTCAGAAATTTAATGACCAAGCCAGATATAGTAAAAAAGAGATTTTGCATTTACTGCATTTCTCTCTCCATAACACTTTTAAGTAATCAGATAAAAGTAATTTGAGAATAGTAAAGCATGATTATTAATCAATGTTTAGCAAGAATATTCACCATGAAAATTCTGGAAAAGCTACAATTACTACTGATTCTGGGACTAATGAGCACAAATGAACTGTTGTGATTCCAATGCAAATGATTGTGAAATGAACTTACAGCTAAATGTGGGAAAAATGATCCATGTAGGGAACCGGTCCAGCGTGACAGAACAAGCAATTTTTGGGCAATCGCAGAAATCCAATTTGGAACTGAAAATTTAAGTTAATAATCAATCATAACAACAAACTCGAAGACTGTCATACTTAAGTAACTTCAAACAGCCATCTGTTTGGTACATGTATAGATAGTACATTTACTAGATCTAAGAACAATTTTGAAAACTAAAGAGGTTTAAAAAAACTTGACATAGGATATAATTTTTCCAATAATTTACCAATGTAACTCATAGCATGAATTTGAGAATTCAAAATCAGCAATCTAGGAAATAACACTTTCTTTTAATCAACATTGTGCTTTTTTTTTACATAATGCACAACAGAAATTTGATACGAGTTTAATTAGATCAATGATGTACATGTACATAAGAAATGAATGGATTTCTCATCAAATAATGTTTGTTTGCCTTAATACATGTAGGGACATTTTGTAAACTGTTAGAATCGATCAAATTTAGTGGTAAAAGTAGAATTTACAATAATGCACAAAACATTTTTAAGTCACACAAAATATTTTGCATGGTTTTATTTAAAAAATGTAAATGATTTGCCCAAACAACAACTTCCCAATTATCATTTTAAAAAAAAAAAATTTCATAATAAATTTTAAAAAATTAAAAAAAAAAACCAGGCCATTTTTCAGCCCCAAATTTTTTTAAAAAAAGGTCTGAATACTTGCCTATCTAAATTTTTTAAAATTTAAAACCTAAAAAGTGACTAAAATGGTTGACTTTGACCCGAGGAAATCAAACTGCACATCATTTGAAATTTAAAATTTGGGAAATTTCTGTTTAAGGGTATTTAAAAATTTTTAAAAGGGTTTAAAAAAAATACAAAACAACAAAAACCCAAAAGGGCAGACAATAGATTTAAATAGGGGCCAGGGGTTTTTTTTTTTTGCATAAATTTAAAAAATATTTTTTTTTTAAAGATGGATTTTTTCCCTTGTTTTTGGCTTCATTCAAAATTTCCTCCATGCCCCCGATACCCCCTTCCCGCCAGGGAAAGGTTAAATACTCTTTTAGGGGAAAAGGTCCTAAAGGGTAAAAAAATGCTGATTTTTGCGGGGTTTACGCTTTTGTTTTGGCCCCCGCGAGTTTTGGGTTTTTTTTAAAGGCTCCAAAAAACCCGGATATCCTGAAACTACAAAGCAAAAACAACTTGGAAATTGGGTTGTAAACCCCAAACAAAACTAAAACCCAATTTTTTAAGATAGAAAGGGACAAAATCCCCGCAAAAAAATATCAATGAAAATTATACCCCTTTGAATAAAGGGATACCATTTTTAAAAAAAATTGTTTCTATACAAATTTTTCCCAAAAACTTTGGGTTTTAAAAACCCCAAACCCAAAAAAAAACTTCTTTTAAATTTCATGTAAAATGAGGATGGGGATTTTAAACCCCTTTTATGGGCAAAGGCTCATAAATTCCTAAAAAAATGGTTAAAAAAAAACTTTTTAAAGGTTTTCATAAGAATTTGGGTTTAATTTTCTCTTTTCCAAAATCACTTTTAAAAAAAATAAACTGGCAAAACCCCTGACTCAAAAAGTGTTTTGATTGCTTTCTGGGGGCATTTTTGCCCAAAAAATTATCCTTTTTTAGATAGAAAAATTTCAAAAAGTTAAAATAAGTAAAAAAATTAGTTTACCAAAAAATAAAGATGATAAAAAAGACCAAAAAGTCAACAAAAAGGAAGGGGCTGAGGGGAATTATGTCATCTGTTAAAGGCAACAACTAAAACGAAGGTTTTAAATTTAAAAATTGTTAAAAAACTAAAAGAAATTTTTAAAGGGTAAAATTTAAAATTATTATTTTTAAGTTCAAGAAACATGGTTTTAATTAAAAAATTTTAAATACCTTTTTTTATTAAAAACAAAAAAAGATTTTAAATTATTTCCCGAATTTTTTTACACATATTTGGAAACAAAGAAATTAATCAAAATTTTTCTATATTTGTATTTTTGCTATATTAAAAATGTGTTTATTAACTTTAATTTTGGAATGTCTTGTGGTACCGGGGCTTTTTTTAACCCCCTTTGTTCAAAACAGTTATTCCCCTTTTTAGGTGGCTGGGGGAAAACATTTTAAAAAGGGGTTGTTGGGTTTTATTCCCAGTCTAAAAAAACCAAGTATACTATAAAACAATGAAAGTAGGGTATATAAAAAAATAAAAAGCTTAAAATGATTAAAAAAAGCAAAACTTCCCCTATTAAAGCTACGCAAATTATTCAAAATTACCAACTTACTAATAGATTTAATTTTCCTTCTGTACTAAGTATGCTTTAACCTATAAATGTAATCTGAATAACAAAGTGAAAAGGTCAAAGGGAATGATTTTGTTGTTGCATTTTTTTTTATTATTCAATGATACTGGGTAGATTTTCTTCCTGCCTAAGATACATATTTGTCCCCTAGTTTTCATTCTAACTCTCATTCTAAAATGCTAAAATATCAAAAAGCCTATTCTTGAAGAAATCTTAGTGACCATAACAAATTAGAGAAAAAAAATTGTATACCCAGTGCTTGTATTATTTTAACAATTTCATATAAGAAAGGCTGTATAAGCAAAAGTGTAAAAATCTATTTTTAGCACTGGTGACCTTGACCCAACTGACCACTAACTCCTTCAAATTTTATGTTCCTATCAATTATAAATGACATCTGTCTATAGAATATGGTTAATACACCTGTAAACAAGAGCTGTCCGTAAGACAGCGCGCTCGACTTTTTTATTGCTTGCCAATAAAAAAAGTTTTTGCAGTAAAAGGCAATACAAGAATCTCTGTATTTTTAAAGTGAACAATGGCCATGAGCATTAAGATATTTAGTGAAGAATTATTTTACTGAATTGTGTGATACCCTTGAACACTGCAGCAAAGTTTGAAATGTTTAAGTCAAAAGAGGGCTGGTAAGAAAGAAAAAAAAACTGAGTTGAGCCTTAAATAAATTTAATAGTATTAAACAAATCCTTGACAGAGTTACCTTCTCTTGCGTACAGATGGGGGTAATGATGTGAAATAGCATTAAAAGTTTCAAAGCAATATCTCAAAGGGTTAAGGCAATAAGTGGATTTTACCCATATTCAATGTATTTTCTAAGTCAAAAAGGGGCATAATTCTGTCAAAAACCTTGACAGAGTTATGTCCTCTTGTCTGTTGATGAAGGTCGTGATGGTAAACAAGTATGGTCAGTTTCAAAGCAATACCTCCAATGGTTTTGAAATAAAGTGAGGTGGTACAAAAAACTTAACCAAGCTCAATACACTTTCTAAGTCAAAAAAGGGCCATAATTCTGTCAAAAACCTTCACAGAGTTATGTACTCTTGTCTGTAGATGGAGGTTATGATGGTGAACAAGTATGGTAAGTTTCAAAGCCATACTTGTAATACTTCTGAAATAAAGTGGGGTGGTACGAAAAACTTAACCAAGGTGTGACGCCAACGCCGACGCCGACGCCGACGCCGACGCCGGGGCGAGTAGGATAGCTCCCCTTTTCATAGAAAAGTCGAGCTAAAAATGTAAAAATCTATTTTTAACATTGGTGACCTTGACATTGGTGACATTGACTTTGACCCAAATGACCCCTTACTATACCCAAAGAAGAAGGACCTCCCTTGGCATGTTTGTATTAATCATGAAAGAGATCAACCAAAAAATAAAGGCTGTATGAGCAAAAATGTTTAAATTTATTTTCTAAACCAGTGACCATGACTTTGACCCTAGAGACCACTTACTCCACAAAAAATTAGAGGACCATTAAAGGTATCCACCTACTAAATATGCAAGATATCATTAAATAAATTAAGCAATTAAGAGAAATTTACGATAAATCCAACTTGCCGGAATAGGTTAACCAGACTTTAGGCCCTATTTTCAAAGTGAAAAAATGGAATAACTGGGAAATATGGATGACACAGTTATATCACTTGGCAATATCATGTACTTTGTATTTATAAGTAAGTGTGGAAATTATGAAGCCATTAGTATAGATAGAAATTAAGATATTTCCAACTTGCCGTTCTAGGTTAACCTCGTATGGACGGACGGACAGACGTTCCAACATTTTGGGTTTAGGGGCTATTTTCTTTGTTTTTTTCTTTGTTATCTTAAGGGCTACTAGCCCATAAACCCTTTGATCACGGAATGAACCTATTGTTCTCTTTTGTTCTCTTTACTGTTACATAGCCCCTAAACCCAAAATGTTTGCTCGGACAGACGGTTCAATTACTATATGCCCGGGGGCATAAAAATCAACATCCAAAACATCACAAGAGAGATCCGTGACCACATGTGTTGCCTTATGATAGCCAATTGCATGCTGCAGCTATTGTGTAGCAGGAGACACAACAACAAGCCAAAATGTGTTTTTTATTTAAGGGGCATAACTCAGCAAACAAGAACTGTCACAGGAGACAGCAAAGCTCGACTAATTAAATACTAGACACAGTAAGGAAGACAAAACTATGAAAGAAACTAGAAATGTGTTGTCACGCCATGGATGCCCCAGCATGCAGCCAAAATTTCAGATGTTAATATAATATTTAGTTCCAAATTTGTTTGCACAAACTAGTTCAAAGCCCTTAAAACAAGATATGTTTGTAAAACATGTATGCCCCCTGGTGACCAAAAAATCAATAAGGGTTAATTACTGGTCATGACTAGTCACTAGGTAATTGTGACTGCAAAGGTTGTGTGCAGCAATTTTATTTCAAATCTTACCAAATCATATATGCATAAATTTTATGAATCATGTAGGCCTCATCAATGACAGCCAAGTTGTTATATTACATAAGACCTTGAAATGCGTATACCAAAAGAATTTGAAGTTTAACAAGAGCTGTTGGTAGGACAGCAACGCTCGACTATTCTTAGTGCTTGATAGTAAAAAAAAAATGCTTGATACAGTTACCTCCTCCTGTTTACAGGTTGGGGTCATGATGGTGAACAAGTGTGCAAAGTTTCAAAGCCATATGTCAATGAACTTTGAAAATATTTGAGGTATTACAAAAACTTTAACATAAATTCTAAGTCGAA